CTTAGTACTACCACCACACCCGCTGCTACTGCACCACCACTACCACTAGTACACCTAGGAATTTCTGCCTTTGCTTTTAAATCCAATTGAAACAAGTCCCGCTGAAGGGTCAGAAACCAGTCAGAAACCCGTCAGAAACCGGCCAAACGCAACCATCTGTTCCCCTCCCTCCCTCTCTCTCTCTCTCTTTCTGTCTTTCCCTCCCTCTCCCTTTCTTCCCTTGCCCTGCTACTAGAACTCCTACTCCTATTCCTACTCCTACTCCTACTCTTACCCCTACTAGTACTACTACTACTACTGCTGCTACTACTACTACTACTGCTACTACTCCTACTCCTACTCTTACTCCTACTCCTCCTACTATTGGTATTACTGTGAGTTTTCCGGAGGGTGGATCTGGCAATATACGTGAGGAGCGTTGTAAATTCCCCCGTGCCCTTTCATGCAAAGTAGTCATAAATGTGCACGCGTTGTGCCGCCGACCAGAGTGCGCGCGGTCCGGAATCGGTCCGAAATCATATATTCGTTTCTAGTTTGAGTGTTGTATAGCTCCACCAGCACCATACACTTTCATCCAAATTAGTCATAGGTTATATAGTCATAGGTGTATATACTCGCGCTTGGCCGGTTTCTGACAGGTTTCTGACTGATTTCTGACCCTTCCATGGAACTTTTGTCAAGTGGAGAAAAGCAAAGGCAAAAAATCCTCGGTGTAGTAGTGGTAGCGGCGTTGCAGTGGTAGCGGCGCTAGTGGTAATACTGAGAGTAGTAGCAGCACTAGTAGAAGGATCCGCCCATGAACGCATTCGTTTTCATATTTGAGAAGAAAAGAAAATTGCGCGGTCCGGAAACGGTCCGGAAAACTCACAGTAATAGTAGGAGTAGGAGTAGGAGTAGGAGTAGGGGTAGGAGTAGGAGTAGGAGTAGGAGGAGTAGTAGTAGTAGTAGTAGCAGTAGTAGCAGGAGGAGTAGTAGTAGTAGTAGAAGAAGTAGTAGTAGTAGTAGAAGTAGTAGTAGTAGTAGGAGTAGGGGTAGGAGTAGGAGTAGGAGTAGGAATAGGAGTAGGAGTTCTAGTAGCAGGGCAAGGGAAGAGAGGGAGAGGGAGGGAAAGAGAGAAAGAGAGAGAGAGGGAGGGAGGGAGGGGAACAGATGGTTGCGTTTGGCCGGTTTCTGACGGGTTTCTGACTGGTTTCTGACTGGTTTCTGACCATTCAGCGGGACTCGTGTCAATTGGATTTAAAAGCAAAGGCAGAAATTCCTAGGTGTACTAGTGGTAGTGGTGGTGCAGTAGCAGCGGGTGTGGTGGTAGTACTAAGAGTAGTAGCAAGTCTAGTAAGGAGAGTAAGGATCCATGCGTGAACGCATTCGATTTCAAATTTGGGAGCAAAATAAACTTGTGCGGTCCGGAAACGGTCCGGAAAACTCACAGTAGTACCAGCAGCACTAGCAGTAGCAGTAGCAGTAGCAGTTGTTTCGAATTCAGCAGAAAAGCACTGATATTACAAAGAATTAGGACAAGATTTTTGTCACGATTCATTGTATAATACATAACTTATATTTTATAATATTTTATGTATATGATCTGATCAACGAAGAACAAACCCTTCCGCGATTGCTCACTGTGGTACCGCGGTTGCTACGCGATTGGCTGAGCGATTGAGGGCTGTCCGGGAAAAGGTATTTTGGACAACCCCCATATAGGCTTCCCCTTTGGGCACCCAATTGGATTCCGACCTTTCCCCAGCTGTGTTTCGATTGCACAGGCCTTTGGGAAGGAGTCCGAGAGTGGGGTTGCGGTTGGGCTGGCCCAGCAGAGTGTGACACGCAAGCTATCCCCAAGTGTGATTTGGAAGGAAAGGCCATGGTTGCTTGATGTTGCTTGCATATTTTTGTTAACTCTTTGCATAGTCGCATGTCGAAAGTACACAATGTGGAAAGCTGGAAAGAGCAGAATCTCATGCAGATCCCGCTGTGAACCAGGCCAGCCGCGAGTAGCCCTGTGTTGGCACATAGCCAGCAACGCACCCAGCAGCAGTGAAGTGGAGTTTCGTGTTGTGCAGATACCAGGAGGTTGTGGAGAGTTGAACACTAGCAAGCGCGTTTGGTGTCGGAGGAATCTTCAAACTGGAGAATATCAACTCAGGATCCCGTTTTGATCCGTTTTGTTTGGTATTATGGCCCCTTCCCTTTTACTACAGCTTCCAATGCTTCCATAGGATTTGCCATCACTTGGGAAGCTAAGGCTATAGCAACTAGGCCTTGCACATCACAATCTACTGGTAGGTCGGAATACAACCAACTTCCAGCCAGGCCCTTGACAAGCCCTCGCCAAGACCTTCCAAGGCAGGGAGTGAAGCCGGCACTGGGTATATTCGAAGGATTTCGAAGGCTCCAACCTTCGGTTGAAAAACATGGCAAAATCTGGTTGAAATACGTTCAAATATGAAATGGAGGGTCCTTCTACATGGAATGATTGGAATGTTTGATTGTCCTTATTGGAACTTATTGGGTTGAAAGATGTTGAAAGCTAATTTAGTTCATGTGACTTGGTTTCTCCAGGGCTCATCCGTTTCTCTTCGGTGTTCATCTCTAGCACCGCAGGGGGATGTCCTCACCGACAGCGATGCCAGAGAGAAACAGGCGCTGGATATGGAGGGGATAGGATGACCTGGCGAGGCTTAGCTCAGCAACGTGCAGGTGCCCACATGGGTTCCTGGTTGGTGGTTTGGAACCATGGAATTTTATGACTTTCCATTCAGTTGGGAATGTCATCATCCCAACTGACTTTCGCATATTTTTCAGAGGGGTAGGTCAACCACCAACCAGTTGATGGTTAAAATTCCCATAATGGTTAACCAATGTTAACCATAACCACCATTATTAACAACATGATTCTTATTGGGGTGTTCCGAGCGAGATCAACAGATGGACTGGTCCATCGTATTCCATGCTTCGCCCTGGCAGGCGCCCTGCACCGGAGGAACCCAAGGTGTGTGTTTTCTGCGGTCAATGTGATGGAAATCCTGTGGACTCAAAACAAAGAAACGGTGTTTCAAACAGTTGGAAACACTGTTTTGAGTCCACAGGATTTCCATCAATGTGATGAAACGGAACTCTGAAGATGGAAATCCGGTGAACCACAAACAGTTTCCTGAGACTCGAAATTAGAGAATAGATGAGCATAGAGAGCAAAAATGAGCAAAATGAGCAAACGGTTTACGGAGCAGCAAATTGGACTCGCCGCGAGACAAGCGAGTCCCAGGATGAGATTGATCAACATGTGGCCCATTTCTTGAAGTACCACCCGCAGGCGCTAGCTAGCCGCTAGCAGGGTCCTCCGGTGATTTGCGTGGAAGGAACTGAAATCCGTTTCAAATACAGAGCATATCATAGCATCCTCCATGGTTTTGCCATGGTTTTGCCGCACGAGCAATGATTTTGAGAAGATGTTCCTCATTTCAAATATTTCAATGCCATCAAATCTATTCAAATCTGAGAACTCCGCGAGTTATGGATGATTCAGAAAGTGTCATGCAATAAATCAGCATATGTCAGTACTGTGTTTAATTATGAGTTGATCATCAACCAGCTGTTGATGATTCAGGTGCTTCAAGAACACCGTTTTTTCCGAAAGTATCCGGGCGTCTACGAATTCGATGGTCGGGAGTTGCGTGTCGGGGAGCCCGGTCCCAGTTGAGTGGCGAATACTGAGGTGCAGGTGACTGCAGGTGAGAGTAGATTGGCATTTCTTTGGAAAATTGAGTATTCTCATGTATTCTCCATGGTTTAGGACATTTCAGCATATTTTGAGCCAAGAAATGACCGACAAATACCTGAGTCTTCGATCCATATCTTCCTGTATGTTCTCGCTGTTGCAACGAGGCTTGAAGATTCACCACTGTATCAGACACTGCTTTATGCGTCGATCATCTCTCAAAATGACCAAACTTGTCGGCGCAAGGTGTAACATGGTCTAACCGTCTAACCTGTGTTTATTTGAATGGGTTACATATGGTTTCATAATGTTTCATATTTCCCTGCCTTGACATATGCTTAAACTTCAATTGCAGAAATCCAGTGGGTTACACCTCACGCCCAGTTGGAGCTATCCGAAAGGGGCCTTGCTCGAAGCTCAGTAAACTCGACCGTGGCGGAGTTGAGCGATTTTCCACGTTGACTCAGGTAGTCTGGGATGGTCCTTTGCGACAACCTCTGGTTCGGGGCTCATGAAACTCACTTCAGGGGATGGCACGCATAGGAATCGACAGGAAAGCCCAAGGTTTTTGACAAAGGTCAACACAGCAAATCGTTGAACATGCAATTGCAGACCAAAAACTCTCCAGCTCCCTGCAAAATCACAGCATCAAATTGAATGGGTGCAGATAAAGCATTGAGTTGTTTGAGTCGCACAGACCTGACCCCACCAACATTACTTTCAGGCTGACTACATGGAGTGCTCAGAGAGAAATGCTGAGTATGATGTGCAAGGTACCGTGCTCTTGTGGTGGCATGAATCATTTATAACATTTTATAACGTGTTACTAGCAACATCTAGCAACTATACGTAGATATAATTGGTATATTGGTTTATTCCTATAAGACTATATAAGACTTATATCACCATGAATTGCAAAGTATTGTATAATGCACGTTGCTATGCAGAAAAGAGATTCTCGACATGCACATGAGTCAACTGATTCCTACAATCAGTGATCGATTGATACTCCTATTGGCTCACGCATTGTGAATGCTGGTCCACAGTGCTCAGTCGCAGTCCTCCTCCATGTACATCCATTCGCCAAGTTGGGAAAATGACAATCTTTGCCGGTGCTTCGCGGTGATTCCAAATGCGTTTTTTCTATGTTTTTCTCCTATCCAAGTTGCAAGGATGCACTAAATCGATGTGTTCGATTGTGTTTTGGGTGGGTTGAAACATGTTGGAACAAACAAAACGGATACACGTGGCACGTCGTGGCACGTCGTGGCACGTCGTGGCGCCCATGTTGGTTCACGTGGTGCTGCTGAGCGGTCGCGGGGCTCATGTCAATCTGGAGCCAAGCATGTCGATTCAAGACATTCGGCGGAGCCTTGGCGCGGGTCGAACCACCCCTTTGGTAAGTACCTAGCCATCCTACAGGTCTCAGCCATAAAATATCCATGATATAACTGATATTAACTAATTATAGATTATAATTGCATCTTTCAGTGTTCATTATGTTTTAGTCACAAACAGTTTCAATCTTGGTATGTACCTAAATTGTGGCGGAATGGATACTGAATTGTGACACTGGGGATGCTCCATCCACCACCAGTTCAAAGCTTATACAGATTACCCCGAGTGGAAACCTGAAGGTTCTGGCGTGGATTTGTAGCTATTTGTAGCTCTTCAATCACAACCGGGCGTTTGATTGTAGTGATTCCGATTCCTATTTTTTTCTGTTCAAAAATCAGTGCTTCGCCTGGTGTTTTCTCCAAGTTCAGTGCGCTTCCCCAGAAGATGCTGAGTTGCTGTAAGACGGAAACCGCAGCTGCGATCGTCTATTTGGTGCTAAACTTGAAAATGAATCCCGCTCATATAATTCAAACAGGGCAGACAGCGAGTCCACATGATAAATGTATGTGTATATTTGTGGATAATTGTGTATAATATTGTATAATCGTGTATATATTTAGATATTCGTATTAATATATATTACATACATTGACATGGCGTGCATCACATCCATATCATCCAAGATCCGAGAGGAACAGTTTTTTTTTTCAACAGCAAAGTGTGATCCAATCTTGACAACGCCAGACAGTAGGCCAGTAGGCTAGTGAAAACACAATGAAGAGACTGCACAGGAACTCAGAGGAAGGCCTAAGAATCCCAGCCAGCAGCATAAACCAGCGTTCGTGTTTCAAATGGTTAACCCTGTAGAAATCACATGGATTCGTGGATTCATGTTGGGCCCCTAAATTTCAACCCCTTAGAAGAAATAGTCAGTAGATGTCAGTAGTGCTTGCCTGACGCCATGGAGTACACATCGCTCGCCTTGAAGCTGCACGAGCCGCAGGACGTTGCAGAGCCGCAACGTTGCGAGGCCGAAGCAAGCTTCAAAGACATCTCCGAGGCCTTTGACTCTTTGACCTTTGATATCCTCACAGATCTCAAAAAGAAGTGTGTTTGACAAGTACGTCATCGTGGGACTCAGGCCTTTTCTATCTCGATGCCAAGACGAGGAGTCAAGGAGGGAAGATGACAAGAAAGTCGCAAAAAGCAATCGCCGAAAGGAAGAAGCAAACATGTGAAGTGAACACCGGCGCAAAGCGGGAAAAGAAGGACATTTTATCCTTCTTTTCTCTCTTCCCAGCGGTGTTCAAGAAAGCAACACAAAGGCAGGCCTTGTCCACTTCTGTGGTGACCAGCACTCAAAGTTTGGCGAACGAATTCGACAAGTTCCAGGCAAAATCTAAATCTAAATTGGCTATTGAAGATTATTGAAGTATCTGAAGAAATCGAAGTGGATGGTTATCCACTTTGATGCCTTCAGAATACAAGGACCAAGCAGTGTCATATTGCAAGCTGCCGCAGGGATCAGCAACTTGGATTCTGAGCCGGGAAGATTACAGCAAACTGGTGACGCATGCAGTGAAGGAGTGAAGGCAGTGACCGGCAGACGCACTGAAGAATCGATGAACGCTATGAAAGTCGTGAAGGACTTGGAGAAGTTCACTGGTCAGGTGGACATCAAAGTGCCAGAGAAGATGAGAGCCAAGGACGGCAGATGCCATGGAGTTGCAGGATCAGTGCCGCCAGCGGACATCGTGCTACAAATTGCAGACGCCGTAAGCAGAATCGAGACAGATGCGCCTCAGATGGTTTGCAGGCAATGTTCCGGGCCTACTGCATATGCCCAATGGCTTCAGCAGGCGCGGCAGCAGTAGGCCCGGAACATTGCTGTTGCACCTAGAGCCGTGACGCCGCCTACTAGTGAAACGATGTGAAACGCACCTTGTGAAGGAGATCATGACACCCTAGTTGTTGGAAGCACGAGGTGGTGTGCAAGTGGCTGAAACACAGGGATCTTCGCCCAAGCTGTGAAGATATATGAAGATATATGAAGATGCATGTGCCATCACTTCAGAAGAAAAGACGATCTACTTTTTAATCTGTGATGGACATCGTGCTGACATCGTGCTGACTGTGCCTCCCGCTCTGCAGAACTCTTTGGCTCTCCTGACTTCAGCCCAAGCAAGGACAAGCTCCCAATCGCCGCATCCCAGGCTTGCAAGCTGTTGACAATCGGCTTCGAGATCATTTCGGAAATGCTGCAAGCACAGCAGTCGGTGCAATTCGTGCGTTTGTCAGCGGCTCCAGTGCAATCCGGCAATGGAATTGGCAGCTAAGCGCTGTCAGGATTGAGCGAGGCTGGGGCGGAACAGGCTTTCAGCATCCTACAGTCACAATCATCACTCGGTCACCTTCACATGCCTGAATAAAAAGCGGTCAGTAATTACTGTATCTGATATAAACTGTAACTTTGATAATCTCTGTGTCATTGCTGTTGGTTGTCTCAGTTTTTGAAAGACCCGGTGCTTCTTAATGGCCGCCAGTTCAGGCGACGAAAGCCACGCAACGGCAGCAGATGATTTTCATTGAAAAAGTGCTGTTGTGGCGGCCAAACATGTTTGAGCACATGTACAGACAGGTACTACAACACACACACACAGACGCTGCCAAAATTATCCAACCTGTAGCTTTTGTGTTCTGCGCATACAATAATACAACCGCATTTTTGAGGTTGTGATAATTGAACGTGCGTGTTTTTTGACATCCAGATTGCATATGATTGCATGCTCCCATCATCCATCTTTTAAAGGGGCCCATCTCCAGGAAAGCGGGTCAACAACTGGAGATCCTCTTGGGACCTCTGGTCTCAGATGGTGTGGTACTTGAAGATGCTTGGCGCTTCCACAGCGAGCTGCTGTGGGAGATGTAGGGAATTCACCTTGGAGTCCTTAGAGTATCATCCATCGCTATAAAATGGTTTTGTACAGCGCATCAACCACTGAAGTTTGCTACGCTCGTATCTTCTGTCTTCGCAATTGGTCAAGCTTCATTTGTCTGGGTCCCGGAAAATGTGTTGTTCAGGACAGCCTGAGCGTGTCAGAGGCAAAGCTGGAAGATGGAGATGTGCTTATGGCAGGTGCTAGTGAGCAGCCTGAGCAGCGGTATCCTGCGTCGATTGTGAAGCAAAACGGTGAGACAATAGATAGAACACCACCACTACTCCCTCACCATGCGCAACTGTACTGCTAAGAATAGCAGTAGTTGAATCAAGCAAAACAGGACTAGCAAGGAATGGAAGCACAAAGCTTCCGAGCAAGAAACATGAAAAGCAGGTAGAAATACCATGCACAACATTGCACAACATCTCGTTTGGCAGGTGCATCTCGTGCTCTTTTGGTGTCCAACCGACATTGCAAGGCAGGTGCCTGGGGCAAAGCATATGAGACTCATATAAACACCTGAAAATGTCACACCTTTGCAGAGTCAAAAGAAACTCAGATATTAATTTCCCTTGCTATTTGATCCAATGGGCCCACCATGACATCGTTTTGCTTGTACTTTTTATTGCATCATTGCATCTAGAAGTTTTGTCAGTGCGCAACATCTTTGACAGTTGGCCATTGACCCCCAGTTGTTTCTGGTTAAGGCTGGCCAGAGAAAGGTTAATTGGGATCTAGCACTATGAGCCAAGTCAAACTTCTTTGATCATGTTTGGAGGTTGTATGATGTTGTATGTTCATTGATGAATTAACTTCTCTATCAGACTCAGTAGAACCAATCCATTGAGCCCTTTTTTGATCTTTTTTGCTGAGTTTGCTGACCTCTGAGTTGTCTTGTTTGGAGGCCTTCGCATTGATTTTACAAGGGAAAGTTCTGACCTGGGGTTGGCCAACCTGTGGTGGAGATAGCAGCACCTTGCGATGGATTCAGTCAGACGTTGAAAAGACCAACCTGAGTCTAGCTGATCCGCTAGGACACGATCATATCACGTCAACATGAACGATAAATGACGATAATGTGCAGACCTTTTCGAATCGTTTGGCTGATATTAATGGTATGATGGGTGATGGGACTCATCCTTTTCCCTAAAACTCTTACAGTGAGTTTTTGTTGGCCGAATTGATCTAGCCCCAACTCATGGGCTAAACGCCAAACCACACATTAGTGCCAGACCTATTCTCTAGACATCTCTAGACTGTGAAGTTCTCTTGCGAGACCCTCAGACGGCTCAAGGCAAAGTGCAACACCTTCTACAAGATGTGCAAGACGTGCAAGGTTTGCCATGCACTCTTTGCGCAATTGTTTTATCCAACTGTTTGAGCACCATCGAGGAGCAATAGTAGATAATGCCCAATGGATGGTTTATCATGTGATATCATGGGTTAATGTGTATATATCCACTGTTTATGATGATGAATCACAATTGTTTGAGGTGTTTGGTCTTTTATCCGTAGGAATCATCATTTTTTCCACCAATGGTTCATGGTTTCAGTTTTATGAAGTGCACAAAGTGGATCACAGTGGCCACCGGAGGTTCCTCAATGGGCTTCGCAGCTGTTGTTGGAAGCAAGGGCAGCCAGGTGCGCAACAGCCATTTGAAAAGCTAGCAGATTTCCAGGGAGCAGCTGCTGGGGTTACAAACCTACGAAATCACCATTATTCGTGTAGTCCAATGTTTTAATAGATGTGTAATTGTGTGTAATTTTATGTATTCTTTTAATGATGCACTCAGCAACTAATGGATATCTCTGGGATGTCTGGCTGGATCACGAGCTTCGTTTCGCCACTGTGCAGTTGGCTGCGTGCATCCCAACGCATCGCTTTGATTTCCTGCGAAAAGTAAGTTGGTAGGGTCGATATTTCTGGCTATGGACATGGACCAAACATATTCAGTACTTACTCAGTAATTCACATACAATTAACATACGTATAATTCAACATGTAAATCATAGTCACATTCATTCACCAATGTCATTCCAGTTCATCCAATCTCATCCAATTTCCGTGTCCATTTGGTCCATTTTCATCCATTTTCGTTCAGGTGGTCACCTGGGGTGAGAAGATCTTCACCGCCAACCAGCCCTTAACGGAGCTCGGCGCCGCCAGCGGCGCCGCCCGCGTGCTGCGGCTCGCCGCCAGCCAGCGCGCCTTTGCGGCGCTCCTGGAGGACGGTGACTGGGTTTAGCCGTGATGGTGGGGGGGTCACATGGGGTCACTGAAATCTCTTTGATATCACATGATATCACCATATCATGATTGTTTGGTGATTGGTAAAATTGGTAAAAACCAGAATCCAAACATGAAAAGCAGTTGATGCCATTTTTGCTGGTTCTGATGATTAAACTAATGGTGAATGCAAAAATTGAAAATCTGGTACTGTTCGATTATGTGAAATGGAAGGAAACTTGGGTAGTCTAGGAATGTCTAGGAGGATGCGACTGAGGTTGGTCTACTTTCAAGCCATTTTTGGGGGGAGAAGTTTGGGACGCAAAGAATGGATTGAACATGATTGATGACTTAACCTAATTACTTTTTATGGAAACCAGCTAAAGTGTTGCTGATCCACTTGAAGCAACTTCAAGTACACCTCAGACTGCATGTTCATATGCCCAACTAATTGGATTGTTGGTGTGTAATATCTGCGCAGTGGATTTAGATGTGTGTTTGAGCCTGAGAAAACTGGGTGACCAGGGTGGCTTCACGACATTTGTGTTGATGCGCCACATTTCAGTGCGTTTGGATCTCCAAAGCATCAGACAGCAGAATCTCAGACGCAACTTCACCATCAATTCAACGCTGTCCAAAGGAAGAGAATGAAGATGAATGAAGATGAATGAAGCATTTTCTGATTCTCCAATCTTTATGACCTCGATGAGCCCGACACAGTGTGACCCTGAGGTCGAGTGGTGACTTGGGGAAGTACCCAGCACGGTGGGGACAGCTACCTGCCTCCAAGATTGCAAAGCGAAATGGGATGCTCCAGCCGTTGATGGTTTGCACTGTTGAGGGGAACCAATCAGGCCAGTCAGGTGGAAGTTTCCGCAGGTTGGGACAGCCCATCGAATATGTTATGTGTGGTTTTTGCAAGTTTCAAGGGAGCCCCAGGGAGATATTGGGCTGCTGGTAGGCTTGTCTCATGAAAGCGCCCTCGGGTTGTCAGGTAAAGATGTGCAGCATCAGCTGATTCTCGGCTGCTATGAGATAGCTTTCCAGACTGCGGGCGTTTGTAAAGGCATGTAAAGGCAATCCACGTCTTGCCTCACATGGCTGTCGTTTCAACACATTTTCAATAGCCATTTCAGGTTAAAGACACTATGATAGCTTAACACATAGTAAACAACCTGTTAAAAAATATGCGTTTGTCTGAAAATCGTGTTGGGACCCAAATCCATGGGATTTATTTATCATTTTCCCCAGCCATTTGGCATACCCCATTTTCAGACATACCAATATTGCACAGTAAGGACCGACATCTCTGACATTGTTGCTGCCGAAGCAGCTTTCGCAGCCCTTCGCACTGACGGCACTGTAATAGCTTGGGGCAATCCCCACTTTGGCGGCTCGGTTTGGGTGCCGAAGATGTCACAATCAGTGGATTTGGTAGGTTGGCATATATATATATATTTATATATAATATATATATATTGTTTATGTCTGTTTTCTATTTGCAAGATGATTTGTGAAAATTTTCCTGGAGTATACTCTAGATTCTAGCTTTGCAGTCAAGTGTACTTCAGAAAATGAGAAGGAAAACCGAAATGAGATGTGTAAGTCAGCTTGACTCAACTGCAAGCCAGATGTTTAAACAGTTTGCGATACTTCCACCAAAAATGCCAAAGTTAATCCATGTTAATCCATCATTTCACCTCTGAGGTGGTAGCATTGCGGGTGTGGAACATCAGCAACTTGGCTACCTGCACACATTTGCAATCCCAGGTTATTGGATGGTGGAAAAGAGGAGAGCGGAGGACAGAATTCCAACATGGCCCGTAGAGAAAGTGGTGATGTACTACACCCAATGCCATAAACCTACCATTTGGGGATGATTTGAATCCCACCATATCTCATCCATCTGCATCATCCCCATGGTTTTCCCATGGTTCCCCATGGTTCCCCATGGTTCCCCATGGCAGGCTGCGTGGGATCGAGAGGATCGTGGCGTCTTCTGCGGCATTTGCGGCCATGGATCGCAGCGGAAGGGTTGTGACTTGGGGATATCCAATGCATGGAGGCGATAGCAGCTCAGTCACAAAGGACTCCTGGGACCATTGGATACCATTGCTGGGAGGATTGGAAAGATGCCAATGGCTTTTAGATGTTTCTTGACACAAAAAGGCAATCCAGGAATTACAGGGTTCCAGGCAGGGTTCTGAGGATTGTGCAGGGGTGCAAGACAGTGCTTTGCTGCAGCCGATGCGTAGAAGGGTCGGCAAGATTCTCCAGCTGTGCAGGACCTGCACGATGTTCAGCACATTGAAGCCACCTCCTACTCCTTTGCCGCACTTCGATCGGACACTTGTACCACGACTGAGGTGGAGTGGCATGTCCGTATCAGAGCGTATCAGAAGATAAACTAATTGAATCGTGCTATTTCATCAACGGCCATTCATCCTGCATGGAAACACACGACATGTTCGGACTGTGTATGACACTGATGAACAAATCCCCGAAGGTACATGCTACTCGTAGCTGCACCTTGATACACTCAGGACCAGCGTGTGATTACATGGGGTGATGCTGCCTTTGGAGGTGTTGCGACCGCAGAATCTGTACATGTGAAGATTGTCAGCATATGATGTTGTTACACCTGTGATATATATATATATATATATGTACAACAAAACACAGTCTCCAACATGTATGATGTACAATCATGATCAATCATGTATATAAACTGTATAATAGGATATAATAGGTATATCATATACACCTATTAACTACTATCAAAGTATATATCAAAGTATATCAAAGTACCCTCTGGTAAACTAACAGTTCGCTATTGAAAATTGCCCAGTCGAAATAGTGGATTTACCCAGCTATAAAATGGTGGATTTACCATGATTTACCCATTAAAAACAGAGGGTATGGCCATCCCAGGCGACACGCAGCTGGAGCTGACCTCAGTGAAGGATCTGCGCGCCACTCGCAGCGCCTTTTGCGCCTTGCGGCGGGATGGCAGCGTGGACGCTAGATCTCGGATTGGGAAGTCATTGGAGGTCTCAGGAGATAGATATCATCTCTATATGAAAAATACATGATATATATATATATATGATTATATATATATATATGTATGTAACTCTATGTATAGTTGATTACTATTTGATGATATTTGTATATAGATCCATGCTGTACCCCCCTGGATGTGTGAATCTGTTGGTATTATATATATTATATATATGTGTGTGCAATGTGTGTATGTGAACATTTGTGTATGACATGACTCAGTAATGATGCCAATATAGATTGCTATATATGTATATACACGTGTGATCAAATATGATTCAAGTACGATTGAACTATATGCAACACTTGTTGAAGGCACATTATGACATTATGACATCAGATTTTCAAAAAAGATATGGACCCAGAAATGCAGCGTGATTTCGGCTTGATGAAACCACCAAGCTTGGCCACTGAGGTGGCTTGGGGCGCTGAAGATGCAGGTGGTGATTGCAGCCATGTCCAATATGAGTTGTTCGATGTGCAGCAAATTCAAGGCGTGCAGGAAGTCCATCCTTTTCGGCGGTTTGCGTCATGTACGAAATCAAACCCCCAATCTTCATTCGTTTTACATTGTTTTATATCTTCATTATCTTCGGTCGGGATTGACCCTGGTCATCCCTGGTCCTATTCTATGAGGTGTTGTATGATTTTGTTAGTGCACCCGCCGGGGTGCCATGGAGGTACTGGCGCCGCATTTGCTGCACAGCGAGCGGATGGGCGAATAATTACTTGGGGGGATGATCCTTGGCTGCGGGGAAGCCAATTTCAATCAAGCTCTGAAAATGGTAGACAGCTGTACCTCATTTTATGATCTTTTACGGCCATATATATCCTAATATATGGGATATGTGTGGGAACTTTCTGGGATCTCTAAGCTAAAAATACCCCTGGTGCGTCTGAAAATGGTGAGTTGATCGCTAATGTACGGCCATTTCAATAAGGAAAATGATGAAAATTACTTCTTTTTTTTTGAGATACCCTGTGTTCAGACAAACCCTCAGATTCAATGGACCATGCGTTGATGTGAAGTTTGAGGATGATTGGGAGATCCTGAACCGAGTGAAGCAAGAATTCATGTGCTGGCCAGCATTCTAATCCATACTAATCCCACATGCATGTCACATGCATGTGTATACATGGACAGAGACCTGTACACAAATAGATTCAATACTGATTCTTCACTGGGGATTTATCAGTCGCATTTTCCCCCGGCGCCTCAGGAAATGGCGGGTGGAAACAGTGAGGACGTACGCGAGCATCGAAGCTGCAGTAGTTCATTGGGGGGCGAATTCAACACAAGGATCATCAGTTCCATATAGTTCCATGGTAACCAGGTGGGGATGGGTCAAAACCTTGTACCCCTGGTGAACATCAAAATACAGTAGCTGGTAAATGGATGTTCATCCCCCTAAATATGTATCTATAGGTATTGACCCATAGCCAGGTTGTTCGGAATCTAAGAGGTAGCAAAGAAGGATTAAGCAAGAATGAAATTGTCGAGCCACTAATGTCACACTAGAGTTCTGCTGTCGAATTGGGTTTGTTCTAGGATGTTTGCTGAAAAACAATAGAGAAACAACGAAAAACAATGCCATAAAAATGGAATTGAAAAATACAATTCCGAGAGAGGCAAAGATGGCAATTGCAGAAAAAAAGGAAAGAACAAATGAAAGTTGGAGGCAAACATGAGAGCTAATTACAGCTAGCTACAGCTATGGTTACAGCTATGGTTACAGCTATGGTTACAGCTAGTTGATAGAAATCCTTACAGTTTTCCAAGTCCCGTGGTCCAGGCAGCTGTACGACGTGGAGCAGTTGGGGGCCATTGAATCTGCTTTCGCAGCCATCCGTGAGAAACCCGGAGATGTTCAGCTGTGCTCGGTGCTGTGGATTTCTCCTGAATTCTCAATATATCTCAATATGACTCAGATATATTCAGATAATCTACATACATCTGCCAATACTTTCAATACTGCATACAATTTTTTTCGGTCTGTGAATGTTTATGATGTGTGCCATGTTTTTTGAACCTCTGGAAGGGTGGCATACCCCTGGAGGTTCCGATGGTTCCTTGATCACATGGGGGGATCCCCGACGTGGTGGTGACAGCCGCAGCGTGCAGCAGCAGCTCTCGGAACGACTGAAAAAAGGTGTGTGGAGCCGCGGCAAGTCAGGGAGGAGATTGGCATGATCTCCAACTGAAGAATGGCACAAGTGGTTTTAACATGTTTTAAGAATGGAAACTGCTGGAATATGGAATGAGTAATGCATTGAAACAAGCAATGTTGATATCAGGTCGGTTTCCACTTCTTCTCTGGTCATCCACTCTGTTGCACTTTGTGCTGTCGGGGCGGCAGGCATTGGTGTCGACACAAACTTGCACAGTATCCCCAGAGAGAAGCGAATGCTGAGATCCAAGATGCGATTGTTGCAGACCGTTGCTCCTGCGTAGGAGAAAGGATAAGCAGCAAACTGATTGGACATTTGGAAGGCTACCTTTGTACTTTACGGCTACCAGTGCAGAAGTGATAGTGCGTGAATTTTGTCCATGACTGCATGACGACCTTTTATTGAAATGATCTGCGATTCTTAGATTTCTTAGTGTTTCTTCCGTGCTGCATACTTCTGGCATCATTTCCGCTAGGTGAGATCATGATGTTTACTTATTTCATATCTTTCATCTCTCTACCTCATTCCCTCATTCCTGACTAAAGTAAGGCTAGAAAAGGAAAAGAGTCTTAAGATGTCTGAAGAATAGAATAGAACATATAGAATTGAGATATTTCATCAGCAACCACTGGGATGTTGGAGACATTTGATACATCTTGGTCATCTTGAATCATTTTGATACATTTTGGATATGATATATTATCATATGATAAACCAACCATGACAAAATTCACGCCAGCAGAAAAGGCACCCCGAAGCTCCCGAGGTCCTTCAACGATACCCACAAGGTCTACAGTCGCCTTGAAGCAATGAAGGTGGCGAAGGAACAGGCTGGATCTATGGCTGAACATATATTAAAAATTAGCAAAATGGACCCCAGATATCCCAGAAATTGGATGAATTGTTGTTGGGCTATTTTTCGTACATGATTTTGGGTGATTTTGAGGCAAGCCGGTTAGTGGATGCAACTGATCGAGCAGACCTGTATCGAAATTCTGTAGATTCCGCTGCTCAAAGGATGATATATGGGGTATGGTTTGATGAGTCAAGAATTGAAGACTCCAAAAGGGTGTGTGTCTAATATCTTATATATATATATGATGTAATATCTTATGGTCTTGTACTATATATTATATACAAATTATAGATGTTGATAGATGCTGTTTTTTTGCGTGTTTTGTACATCCAACCTTCTGGGGTAGCAGTCCAGTTTTGACCCATTGCCAGGCTCAAATGCGAGAGAGGGCCGCTGAGTACATCAAAGATGGCCGCGAGGCAAGCGGTTGCCATCTGCCTGTGATGGATAAGAAAGATCAACCAATGGATTTGCCAAGGTGCGAAACATGTGACTTTGTGTGAAAATAGGATAACCCCAAATCCCATGGTTTAAATCATCATGCTTTCCATTAGATAGCAGTTTTTTTTGATGAGTATCCCACATGAGTCACACCCATGTATCTGTGTTTTTGTTTCCCTTTTCCTGCAGATTCCGAAAGACATGTGGCAGCTGCCCGAGGGCCCAGCTTTGGGAATTCCGGTTGGCGATTCCTCACTGCACTAGCGAATTTGCCATAACTGAGTGGGAACATATTGCAGGGCCAAACTTGAAAGAGCCGCCATTCAGAATTCTGAACATACCTGAACTACATGTCTTCTTTTTGCCAGTGAGAAACAGGTTGCACCCGCTGTTGCCCTCCTTGGCATCGCGACTTGCCACCAAGATACAGATCCAACATTGGGAGAAAGCTGGACGCTCCCATGCTTCCGGGTCAACGACGCAAGGACAGCGCGGATTTGTTCATAAAGGGAGGATTTGGGCTCTGGAGTTGCCTAGATGGTTTTCTAGATAGGAAACTGAGGAAACTGAGGGTGTTTCACCATGTTTCACCCACAAACCCAAGCAGCTTTCTGGGTGGATTCCGTTCTCATCCATGCTCTTTGCCCATGCTGGTCAAAATTGGTCAAGATTTATGTAGGACCGCGAGCCGGATGTGGCGAGCGAGCAACTGCCTCAGAGGAGTATGGTTTGTGGTCAAAGTCATGGTTCCAAAAATGTTTCGCCGTTTCATGGTGAGTAGAGGCTGGTTTGATAACTGGTTGAACCAATGATGGTCCCTGTGATGCCAAATCAGGAGCTGGTTAGTTTCTGATGCTATGCCCATTTGGAGTTGGAATCCGCAGAAAATCCACCGGGAATTCCATGGAAATTCCACCGGTATTGGGAAGGTCCACCCCTGCTCCACTGGTTCGGAGCCAAGGGGTTGGTGTGGAAGGTGAACAATTAGCGCGCGCATAGACGCGCTCAATGAAGCAAAGTGAAAAGGGAAGATTCATAGGATATACATGGATATACATATATATATAATATATTTTATATGTATATAATAATATATATATATATATTATTTGAAATAATCTATAACCACGGATTCCTCTCAATTTCCCATTCAATTCACAGATTGCTGTGCTTAAAGCATGAGCCATTCATAGCCATCAGGCAGGTCTCGGTGCAAAGGAGGCTGCGTGTTCTCTGTCCTCTGATATCCACAGCATTGGGATATTGTTTGTGGATATTATATATACATGTTTTATTGATATATATATATAACAATATCCCAATGGGATATATAACAAATGTGGATATCCTCACTATAATAATGATATTATATCTACAGCATTGGGATATGTTTGTATTTGATATATTATATATACACATGTTTTGTGATCTATCTATAAAAAATCTATTATGTTCTATTGGTATCTATTCAAAAAAAAAACTGTATACAAATGTGATGTAATAATGCAATGAGTTGAGATTGATTTATCATATGTTTGTGTAAAGGCGATAAAGGCGTGTCCAAGATTGTTGACCCAGATTCACAGATTCACACAACGGTATACATATGACTCATATGATGGTTAAATTGTTCCCAGTTATGGAGTAACGGTGAGTAACACACATATATATATATATATCAAATATGTATCTTATTATATCTTAGTAGTATTTGAGAGTTGAACATTCTAGTGTTCACTTTTTGGAGCAACACTCAGTTGCAAAGTTACAGCAACAGGCCTTTCCGAAACCAAAGGCGGTGCAGGCTTGGAGGGTTCGCACGGCACTGATGAGGATCCGAAGGGTCACTGGTGGGCCAAGGGTGATACTGTGCTGTGGTGGGCCTTTGCAGCGTGCTTTTTGCTAAATTGATGATCAACAATGTGGATGTTTAGACCATCGACTGTTCGTTTTTCGCTTAAAATTGCCACAAGCTGGGGTACACAGGTACCCCAGTTGCATGAATATCCATCTCTGAATCATTTCCATCTGCGACCTTTGTGCGCAGGGAGCGATGCCTTCTCCGCCTACAGCCTCAGGGCCGCAGGTGATGTGTGGAGCCTGGTCGGTTTTTCAAAGAAAGGATCTTGTGAAAAGCATGGCATTGCAAAGCAGTTGAGTGGGTTGAGATTTACTTAATTTTGATTATTATGTGTTTATCTATTTCTATATGTGTTTATTCGATTTTCTTTATTTTTTTATGTATTTATGTTTTATTTATTTAGTCAATGAATCGATGTATGAATTTATGTGTTGTGATGTGTTGTGTATATATCTATATTATATATTGTATCTCAATACTATCTAATATGAAAGGCATACACATTTCATATCATTGATATACCATTTTCAAATACACCTGTAATTAAATAGTTCACTAATAGCTATGGAAAATTCAGATTGCCCATTTTCAGATGATAGAAATATATTCACTGGATTGGTTTAAGGGAAAATTTACAGGAAACCCATGGGTTTTTACCATCAAATATAGGGTTTTACTGTAAATTTTCCCATCATCCAATTCTATGATATATAGAAAATGGGAAAATCGATGGTTTCCTGTAGATTTTCCCTTAAACCAATCCAGTGAATATAGAAAATGATCAACATCAGCCACTAAACAAAAAGGTGCTTTTCCATCGGCCCCGAGTCGTCGCCGAGGCCATTGCGAACGCAATGGCCGCCGCTTCCGGCAGCTTGCGCCCATCTCAGGGAACCAATCTGTGATGAGATGTATCTATCAACTGATATAGATAACTATATATATAACTATATATATATCATTATTATATCATATGTCTATAATATTCTATAATGATGGATATGTTCAGTCTATCTCGAATGAGAATAGATATACTATAATTCGATACTAAATAGTTGGTTATATAGATGTATATATGATAATATGTCATTATAATTTCATTATAGATATAACATAGATATTTGATATCACCATGATAGTTATGAAGATGAGATATTAGTTGATGTTATATGATTTTTGAAATCCATGCATAGATATGCTATATATATATAGATACACACACAGCCCTTCATTTCTTTATGTTCTGTTTTGATGTTCATGATGTTCACCAAGTATTTGTCAAGTAGCTCTTGAACGGAAGCGTCATGACCGATGAAGCATCTGGAGGATTCTGAACGTCTGGTAGGGTGGCTGAAACATGGGGCTTCAATCGACGACCCACGCATAGCTGCACAAATGGATGTGGGTCAAAATGGAAGACCTAGCAAACCACAGATGTTAGTCTAGTTTAGTATTAACCATCCAATTATTGGGGTACCTAATTTTGACCCATACCCATGTAGCTATCCACGTTGCAAAGTTACAGTAAGAGTTTTGAGCCATACTTCCCGACATCTTCCATTCTAGGTGCCCCTGGCCAGCCGCCACCGACCGGAAGCCCAGCTTTGATCATCGCTAGGATCACCAGCACCCACCTTCCAGTAGTCAAAGATGCCATCATTTAAAATGTTACCATATCCATATATATATATACATGATATTATTACCATCATTATTAGTCGTAATGATTATACTTGCTGACTATTACAACTATTGGTGTCTTGCTACAACTGTTACGAATACTGTTTTATATAATACATTATATATCTTGTTGGTGGTTTGGAACATGAATTTTATTTTTCCATATATTGGGAATGTCATCATCCCAACTGACGAAAGGGTAGGTATACCACCAACCAGTCATTATATTGTAGATCATGTTCATTATATTATAGATCATTCATCTATACCAACCATTTTAGATGGGTTATATAATAGTGTAATGTTATATAATACTATATATATGGCTATGGATCAATACCTATTAATTCAATTTTTAGGGGGATGAACATCCATAAATCCCAGCTATTTTGATGTGAACTACAGGGGTACAAGGTTTTGACACACTGCCATATATATATATATATATATATACACATAGTAAATACTGCCATGTTGGATCCATTGCCAGGACCTGGGCAGTTCCAGCAGCTCCCAATGCTCCCAAGGCCGGCGGAAGGGATATACGGTATATTAAGTGCCATATTGTCCCATATCAGAATATTAACATGGTATATCGGTATATATATATAGACGTATTGATAGAGATATGAGTAGGGATATATGTAGGGAATGTCAACATGGCTAAGATGATATTAAAAAGAAATGGGGTTTGTCATGTTGGTCGTATTGATATTCTCCATTCGGATTTTTTTTGGTACCCCAGTAAAACATCCCAGGCATGGCCTGAGACGCTGAGGCCAGAGACTGGCGATGCTGCGTCACGGGAAGTCATCCATGAAAAATGAGCAATCTATCATGAAATCATGATATCTATGTCCTACAGAAACATGATAGTACACTATATATATATATAAATACACATATATTCATATATATACAATATATATATATATACACATATATATATATATATATGTTCATTATACACAATATATCTAGAGGATGTTATCCATATGTATCACCTTATGCATTTCTGAAATATGAGGTCATCAGAAGATTCTGCGGAATCAGATCGCATATTTTAGACATGTTTTTCTCGGATGTGGCTGCTAATGGTACCAGGAAACCAGTCGTACACTTTGTATTTATACATGATAGTTCTGCATCAATCTTTTTTGAGCTTCCTGCTGGAAATGATCTGCTGATTGTCTAAACCATGTGCACCTCGACGCAGATATGTAATCATCCATTGTTTCAAGCCCCTGGCAGATATCCGTTGCCTGCTCCAAGCATCTTTCAGCCAATGACCTTCAGGCTCGAAAGTCTGTTGTTTTACAGCCCAAAGCGATACAATGTAAATGAACATCTCAAATACCTAAGACCCATGTTGGAGAAGTGACGGGCAACTGTTACACAAGTCAATAGCTGGGCAAAAACTGTTAATGCTGTTAACCGCTTTGCCAGCATGATGCCAATAAGAGCTGAGTTCATTTCTGTATCAGCATTCAGTATTCTCAAACTCTTGATCTTTGACACAACCACTTTCACACTGTCTCAGAATTTTGAATTGAGTGCACGTTCAAAATAGTCCTGTTCATGAGATTTCCTCAATTTTGTACTCAAAATAGTGACATGTTTTATCATTTGTCCATTCACATCATGGACTTTCTATGATTTTCCCATCCTGTTGTTTTGATGGCACCTCTCTGCCAGTCCGCCAAGTGGTTTTCCGCCGTGCGCAACGCCAGTGATTCCATGATTCCATGTGGGACAAGAACAGCGTCGACAAAATCACACCCTGGATGGGGCAGCGAATTTCATTTTTGGGCATACCTTAAATATACCAGGCTCATTCTTCCCAAATAATACCAACCTAGCCCCTACATATTTTCAGATACCAGGAGTCACATGTAGTCATTACTTGGCATAGCATTGACTTCAGAATATTTACAGAATATCTGTGGCTTCAGTGGCATCCAACATTCGCCATCCAGCCATATCGATGTGAGGCCCAGCCAAGTGCCGGACAGGAACTTAGATTGTTGAGTTGGTGCCACCTGGCAATTCAGCAGAGGCAGAAGGGATGGAGGTGTTTGACCCACCTAATTTCCATGAATTTCCTGCTAGTTTGGAGAGTTTGGAGGTCAAATACCAGTTTTTGTGGTGGAATTTCATGGAACAATTTCCCTAGACATTTGAAGAAGTCGGAGTCCGTGACCCGCAACATCCTCCAAGGCTGTGTTTCAGGCACAACGATGAATCCTCGTGTTGAAACACCATGGGCATGGAAGCTGAAAGCGAGGGCTTGACCGAACTCGGGTTCGAGATGACCAAAAGACCAGTATCAACGGACTCAGTCATGAATTTTTCCAGTCTCCTGCAGGTAAACTAAACAGTAGCGCAGGTAGACTAAACAGCAGCTATTTCCCCAGACTGAGTAGGGTGTCAGAGCAAAGTTCATGTCATAATTCGATTATTGTAATGAAATGATTTGCTATTAGCTATTCCCTTATCATGTTGAAATTTTGGTGCTTCCTTTCTCGAGATGCTCACTGATGTTCAAATTATTTTGAAATGGATCATTCATGATACATTCTTGATATTCTTGGCACAGTTTATGAATTCATTCATCACCGAGGTCATCATTTATGGCAGGTCATCTAATGTCAGCCCTCCCAGGGACCCAATGGGATCTCTGGGCCCAAAATGATGGCAGATAAACAAAAGGGAAGGTCAAGGGGATTGGGATTGTAATTCATTGCAAAAATCATTGTTGGACATACCTATTTTTTGTGTTTTGCTTGCGGCATTGCGCATGTCTCCATGAATATCCCCTGTCAGATATTCCGGCAAAACTGTGTTCACCAGTTTGTGAGATTGAGGGCGGTCCTGTTTGGCTGCTGCGACAGTTTGCAGTCTCTTGTTGTCCAGTCATTGCTTTGGAAAAACAGCCGTGTTGAACACTCTGCCGATTCTCACCCGTGGCACACGCCACCATCAGCGTAGGATTCAGGGACAGAATTCCTTGGAAATTGTGAGGAATTGCGGCTGGCTTGTGCTTCTGAGACAAATCTTAACTGTTTCACATTGTTTTACAATGCTGTGCTGGTTTGTCTATATGCATAGCAGATACCTGGTAATTTATGTTAGTTGTTCTATCGACTACCAAGAAAAGTCCGCCAAAGGGTTTTGATCCCGCCCCTAAGAAAATAGAACTGCACAAGTGTAAACTCATTTTAACTGCACTTGGAGTTTTGCCTGAATAAATAGCACCATGTCAATATCATATTACATCATATTACCCTGTAGCTGTTTTTGCTGAAACCTCAATCGCTGTAGCTCTGTAGCTGTTTTTGCTGAAACCTCAATCGCTGTAGCTCTGTAGCTGTTTTTGCTGAAACCTCAATCGCTCAATCGACCACAGTGACAGGTGCGACGTGAAGCCCAAATTGTTGGATACCCTGGAAATCCTCGTGAAATCCGTCAAGCCTGGTCCAATGGTTTGCAGACTTTTCCGTGACTCCAAAGCCTTTGAAAAAAACATGAAAGAATCTGAGTAGAGTAAGACTGGTTACTGGGCTGTATGTAGGTGAAGTCTTTATGGTTAAGTTCAAACATCCAGTCAAGATATTCCATTATGTATAAGTGCCATGGTATGCCATGGTCAAAACATTGGTGAATTGCTTTTATTGCTTTTATTGGGGAATGGTCATCAATCACATCAATCCATTTTCATAGGGATTCGCAATGATTTATATACCCATTATCGGTATTCCTTTGTGGGATGCGTGACCATAACCCGTATACCATGTTTTCACCCTAGCACACATGTTGTCCCCTGTGTTCCTATCAACATCCTACAATTCATTACTCGAAAATTGACCGTGCCCGCAAACAGGATCGCCAAATTGGAGTTGCAGGTTTTCATGGTAAAAAAAATAGTTACTTGATGTTTGCAGACCCTCCAAACATGATGTTGATATATGTTGATTAATGGGATCGCAGACCATTTCCCCATGCGATTTATGAATCGGAAATGATTTCCAAGAGATTGCATATGAATCATGATATAATATCACGCATATATCACATATATATGATTATATATATGTATGTATGTATATATATATATATGTATGTATATATATATATATGTATATATATATATTTCTCCTTGCAATTTCCTCTACAAAATCGCAACAGTTAAGCTTGGGAACATGGTGCATTTTAGGGCCCTCCTTTGTTTAGGGGTACCTACCCAGTGTCAACGTTTGCAATTTTATAGAGAACCTTGGTGTCCGCGATTCTATAGAGATTTCACGTTGAAAAATTGACACTGAAAACTTGGAGCAAGAGCAACCGGAGTATTCAGGTCAGCTGTCAATGAATGAGACTTGGGGAATCTGATTTTATAGAAGGCCAACTAAGCCCCTTAACCTAAAAAAGCTTTACGAGAGTGACTTGGTGTCAGCTATTCTATAGAAAATGATGCTCACAAACAACCTCAGTGACAGCAATTCTATAGAGATTGTCAACTTGAAAAAGCCCTGGCATCTCTGATTCTATAGATGCATTTTCAAAAAGAGGGTCAACGTCTCAAGGTTTATCACTATAAAATTGCTCACACCAACACTTTCACTTCATTTTAGAAGGGGATTATATATATATACGTATATATATATATATACATATCATATATATATATCATATCTCAGCAGAATCATGTCATATCATGTCTTGATTTTCCCCTTGTTTTCCTTCCGCCAGGGCGATGTATCGGTGTCCGGCACCACGGAGAGTTCTGGCGAAGACTCTTGGAGCTTCGCGGCGACATGTGGCCGCGGTGCCTTGGAGCATGTGGGGTTGGCGATCACTTGCTGGTGATGATTCATTGATAGATATTATACAATATATATAAATTATATACATATATATATATATGTATATACATACATACATACATACCTACCTACCTACCTACCTACATACATACATACATACATACATGAGCAGGGACCCCCACACCCCCCCCCCTCCCCAGCCAGATGGTTCCCCCCCCCCCTGTGGCCGGGGAGGGGGGTTTTCTCAGCAGCCAAGCCGATTGTTGTACAGAGTGTATGTGTGGTGTATATATATATATAAACATATATATAATATGTAAGATATAAATAGAATATAGGCAATATATATATATATATGTAATATATTTGACATATATATATATATATATATTTAACATATATATATATATATCGTATATGTGGATTTTGATAGAATATAGATAGTATATGCCACATGTACTGTATCCACAGTAGATGTAATATATACAATATAGGTAAATACGTTCGTTGAATAAATTTTACATAGTATATGTGGTATATTGAATATCGACAGCAATACACGTTGTATATCTAGAGTTTATGTATATATATATACATATATACGTGTACAGTATGTACAATGTAAACGAAATATGTGATAGATACAAGATCAAGATATCAATATGTAGTATCTAGAATGTGCATATATATATATATGTATATATATATATATATTTATTGTTTTTCTACTGTACATATGTCTAGGTTTGCATAGGTAAGCTTTGCGTAATCCATAGGTAGCAAATATGTTGTAAACCATGTGCGAGGCACGCTATAGGCGGTTCGAAAAAAGGTTATGATAGAAATATACAGGTAGACAAGGTCCGCTGACGAGGTCGTGGCTCTCAAGTGCTGCAAATAACGTAGAGATGCGAGGTTGGAGGGGTGGAAAGGGGAGTATATATATATATGTGTGTGTGTGTATATGTGTATGTATATAATATGTGCAAATAACATGCAAATACTAGGTTTTGAGGGGGTGGGGGGGGGGTTAGGAGTGGGGGGTGATACCATTGGGGGGGAGGGGGGGGGTTGTGGGGGTCCGGGGACCGGGCTCATACATACATACATACATACATACATACATACACACACACACATACATACATACATACACACACATACATACATACATACATACATACATATTTATATATACACACATATATATATATATATACGTATATATACATATATACATATATTATATATACATAGAGAGAGAGAGATAGATGGATGGATGGATAGATAGATGGATAGATAGATAGATAGATATACAGATATACAGATGTACAGATGTACAGATATGTCTTTATATAATATAATATTTAGATAGTGTATATGGTATTACACAGACTTATATAGAATATACATTGGCAAGCATGCAGCTTGCCTATATTTGTAAGATGGTGTGATTATATATAATATGCATTCAATTTTTGTGCTCGGTCCTTTTGTGAAGATAAATCTATGGGTTGGAGCCCCAGGAGGGCACTCCTTTCAGGTGCCAATGTTTTTGAACGGCAAGAAGGTTCAGTCTGAGACTTGACGCGATGGCCGGAAAATGGTTTGCTCAAGAATTGGTGAGTGCAAAGAAATTAAGATTGGTTGAAGCGCAGAAAGTTGTGGGGTTCAGAGTTTCAGGAGGTTGAATTCTTGACCAATACCAATGTCACCTTGCCAAATTTGCCAATGTGTCACGAAAGTCGTCAGCTGAACACCCTTGGATCACCAAGGAAAGCAACACCTTCTATGATGTGCACAATCCCGCCACTGGCGTCTTGGAAGCACCAAGTATATCGCGGATGTCTGTTCCTTGAGGATCTTGAGGTTGAGGTTTTTCAGGAAAAGTGAGAAGGCACCGAAGGCACCTTTGCTTCTGCAGATTCTGCATCAACCACAGCTTTCCTCACTCGACGGTACCCGATTCTGCAGATACCAGGTGAAGTGATTGCCCGGACGCCGCAGTGTACGCCAAGCGAGTGACCCGGTTTCACGATCTCTCACCAGCCTCGCCGCGACTCGCTGGGTTGGTGATGGTGAAATGATCAAACAGTTTTTGGTCAACATATTGCTAGATATTGCTAGCAGATGTTTGCAGTACTGAATGACCTTTGGATATGCCTTTGTTTTGCAGGGAGTGACTTGTTGTTAAGTCAGTCCTGCACCATGAACTGTTTCCAATACAAGTTATGTCAACAAAGTGCAGACATTTCATGGCCACTTCACCAGTGGATTGGCCGCTTCGCCACCATTTCCATCTTCCCAGTCTTCCCAGGTTGGCGGCGGCCGCCGACAGTTGCGCCGAAGCATTCAAGAGCTGGCGAACCACGCCGGTGTCCACCAGGGCGAGGGTGATGTTTCTTCAGCTGCACTTGGTGCGATCCAACTTGGCGAAGGGTGTCACCCAAAGAACCCAAATGTTTCACCCAAAACAAGGTGTCGCTTGAACTTAGTGAAAGGAGACTGTTGTAGAAATGCAAACACGATTGATTGGATTTTTGTAGCCTGTGATTATGTTGAATCAGAAAGGTGTTTTTTTGGCAGCATGGGACAGATATGGACAGATCAAGTAGCGTTTTCCAATCTTTCGACTGATTTGGTTGGCTTCAGGCATAAGCTCGAAGGTGCAATCAGAGACAACACCGATGCAGTAGCAAAGGTTTTGACCCAGGACACGGCAGCTCCGAGTTGGTTCAACTCATACATGGATATACATGGTTGCTTGTGGTGAAATGGAATAATAGATAATAATAGTAGATATATTAGATATGACATGATATGACTATAAATGTGACTAAATGACACTTAAAGGTCAAAGATGTTTAGGTTGTCTCCGATTCTATTGAGTCACTAGATCACACTATCAGATATCACACATGATCTTGAATTGGAAACTCATTGCAGGCTTGTATCTTGAAACCTTCACCATCCTTCACCATCCTTCACCATCCCAGGAGCAAGGAAAGACCATCGCCGATGCCAAGGGTGACGTCTTTCGAGGCCTGGAAGTCGTGCCTGGGCGATCGTGTCTGTCGTGTCTGTCGTAGCCGTTGCGACACATCGCGGAAGCCCCGGCACGGTGCCTTCGGAGTGTCGGTGCGGAGCTAAGGTAGAGATGTCCTGTAACATCCCAGCCATGATCCAAGGAGAGCCTCGTCCCGAAGTTTCGGAGACATATTTGATCAAAAGGGCCAGAGCAGTGAGATGCAATGAATGTAATTATAATATGAATGTATAGAAAAAAAGGATCTAGTGATTGATCATCAGTCGTTTCATAATTATGATTGTCCCGTCCCATAATATCCCATAATATCCCATGATATCCCATGATTATAATCCCATTAACCCAATCTAATGGAATGGATCTGTGGCCTGGTCGCTATATCTTCAATGGCCGGGTACCAGGCTTTGAATATTCCCAACCAATCCTTTTCGAAAAGATCAAGGTCAAGGTAGGATAAGTTAGGATAAGGATGGATAAGGTAGAATATGACTGGGATATATGGGAGCCGATCGCAAATCCAAGTCCAAGAATTATGAAAGGGCATGTGTATTTCAGCATCCGCGATTGTAAATCCCTGCATCGTGATTGATCGGCGATTGGTTCGCGATTGAGACAAACATTTGTTGTATCGACTGTTGTAAGAGGAGAAATCAATATTGTATGGCATGATAATTACTGTATGTTGTATTTCAGCCTTATACTGCATTCGGATCTGCCTAGACACTGTGTTCAATAGTGATAGCCAATAGCAAAGGAGAATCAGAACAACAAAGTTCAAAGTCTAACAACCCAGATCGATTCAACTTTCAAAAAATGTCGATGAACGCCGCGATTGGTCCATTGGTTCGCGGTTGATCCGCGATTGCTCCGCGATTGTTAAACCCGCCTGACTGGGCCCTGGCTCACGCCATGTCTATAAATACTGTGATATGTAGCAATGTTTTGACGATTCTCTGCGCAAAATAATGTCGCATACGACAGAACCCTCCCACGATTGACACCGTTGGGATCGCGGTTGATTCGCGGTTGATTCGCGGTTGATCGGCGATTGTAGCTGCCCCAGATACCTTTATTTTGATCAATACCCATGTAGGTATGTAATTTAATAGAATGTGATTTGAATTTAACAATATATAATTTAAAGTGTAAGGAACGTCTGATTTGAAGCGAAGGTTTACCTGGTAACGATTCCGTGTCCAAATCACAGGTTTTTTTGAGATTGCTGCTAGAATCTGCTAGATATTTGCTCCTATTGTACCAATGTTGTACCAATGACATCCAATGACTAAGGAAACTTTGCCCAACGTTGCGAATAGCGTGGACGTGCACAGCTACCGAATTCCGCTGGGTGTATGCGCTGGCATCGCCCCCTTCAACTTTCCTGCGATGATTCCGCTGTGGATGTTCCCACCAGCCACAACGGCTGGAAATACTTTCCTGATGAAACCTTCAGAGAGAGTTCCCTTGTCTGCCAGGTCCTCAACATTTCTTATTGTTGTACTATGTTGTAATTGTGATGAAGACTTAAAAGACTTAAGAGATCTTAAGAGATCTCTGCCATCTTTCTATTAAAACAGTAAGCATACTAACGATAAGACCAGGCCATGATGCTGGCGGAAATGGCGAGCGATTGTGGACTGCCTCCCGGTGTGCTGAATGTGGTGCACGGTGGCCACGACACGGTGAACTTCCTCTGTGATAACGAGACTTGGTTGGACCATTGGAGGCTGAGAAAACGAACATCTTTGGACGTCGGAAAATGCCGTTGACACATCCCTGTGGCTCGATCCAGGGTCCGCGGTGTCTGCAGCTTCACTTGCTAAGGAGTGATCTAAAGACACATTCATATAAGCTCTATCTATATATGTATATATGTGTATATATATATACAGTTATATATATATAGGTGTGTCCACTTAGGACCTACAAATAAAGCAGTTCAGTCTCGCGCATTTTTTTGGTTGCGGACTTCCAGTGAGACAGGATTTCGTGAAAATTCCAAGGAACATGTGAAAGCCGTTTCCTTCGTGGGTGGCAATGCAGCCGGCAAGCACATCTACGAGCGCGCAGGACCTGGAAAGTGACAGCCAAAGATAGCCAAAGTTCCGGATTTCTCGGTTGATAATATATCAATAGATATCATCTTAGCCGCTGCTTTTTCCGAGGTTTTTCAGGTGTCAGGATCCAACTATTCAGCGCCACTGGTGCCACCAGGACAGAATGGGAAGCGTGCACAGTGCAATCTTGGTGCCAAGAATCATGCCATCGTCTCTCGGAGCAATTTCAGGGGCTCAGGGCGACAGGGCGACAGAGCGACTGCGTCATCACTCCAGGTCTTACCAGATGCAGATCCAGAAAGCGTGGTGAATCAACTGGTAGGTGCATCTTGTGGTGCTGCAGGTGGGCCGAAGTTGTGTTGAAGATTGTGATTTTCTCTTAGATTATTTAGATTATTGTCATTGTCTTATAGTTTCTTTCCAAAACTCCGAAAAACATCAACTTCCAAAAGGTTCAGAGAAGCACAAAGATCATGTTAGTACAGTCGATCTTTTTTCGGAGGCTGTAGAATTATAACTGTAGAATGGCTCCACACCCCGACAGTTCCAGGTCAAAGATGTATGGCCATTAGTGTAGCTGTCTTCGTGGGAGCATCCAAAGAGTGGCTTGTCGAAGCTGGTTGAGTGCCCCACTGGATATGTGTTGATTGGTGAAAAGATGTGGAAAGATTAAGTATGTTTCACCAGACAACATGCCATGGAAACTTCGAACTTTACTATTTGGGCAAGAGGTCCCATCTATCATCCCAAAAAAATATGCTATACATCTAATCCATTATAAGTCCATCATTTGAGGATATGATTATGGATGATTATGGACAATTTATATAATTCATGGATGATCATTATCCATATCAAATATATATCAAGATAATGATCATCCATAGTTATACCATGTTATACCATATATACCATAGTTATACCACAAATAATATACCATAGCTATCAAATATAATCAGATTATCCATAGTTATACCATCTCCAAGATTCCATAGCCATAGCCGCCATGGCCTGGTTGAGGTGGATCCCGAAGATTGCGGAGGCTGCTGGGAAGCTTCGCGTCGGTCCTGGCAATGCCTCCGAGACGGACGTGGGGCCTCTGATCTCCAAGCAGGTGGGGGACATCCCAATGGTGGAGCAAATCCCAATTGGGAAACCATAGGAAAACCATAGGAAAACCATAGGAAAATGATGGAAAATGGAGGTTTACCCTCTGGTAATTTGTTACATAGCTATTGAAAATGGCCATTTATGGTGAATTTTCCCATTAAACATGGTGATTTTCCATAGCTATGTTAGTTTACCAGAGGGTATATTATCACGTTGTTATCACGTTATTATCACGTTAAAGCCACTGAAATCCACATGATTTTCCGATGTTCCAATTTTCTTTGTTTTCTTTGCGCATCGACATGTTTGTGCAAATAAACTTTTCCATGAAAACATTGAACACGGTCAATTTAGCAGTCGTGGTGGCTCAGGCGCAGCAGCGCGTCGAGCAGTTGAAGCTTGGCTACCTGACACTTCAAACGGTGTCATTTCATCCAGAATCCACTCAATCCCTAGAAAAATTGGAGACAGTCACCCTTACAAAGCCACAGCAATAGGTTTTTCAAGGTATTTTTAGGAATTACCATAAGCATTCCATAAGCCAATTCACCTAATATCTGACGATGATCTGACGATGCGCCGTTTTTTTGGGCTCCGAGGATCGGCTCCGGTGTTGATGAAGGCGCCAGGCTCTTGCTGGATGGCCGAAAACCATCCGTCCCAGAAGCTGGGTGAAAAACTTTCCGGACGCGGATCATTGGATGTTAAAATATGTTGAAATATGTTGAAATATGCTAAACACATCTAAACACCAATATTGTTAATATATTGATTAATATATTGATAATATTAAAACGTGTAAAATGTTGATTAAACAATATTAAACACCCAAGTTGAAAACCAGGTTTTGACCCAGGCCCATTCCATAAACTCTCATTCTTGGCTCCATGAATTTGGGCAGAGAGTCGTTCGCAGCAGCAATTATTGTGCTCTTTGTTGCACCCATAATGTAATTATTTGTACTATTCCATGTTGGATGCAAGAAGTGTTCTTGCTATTGGCCTATTGGCCTTCCAGACCGTGGTTTCAGGTATTCTATGAGATTTGAGGGCATAGTAAGGCTGCATTGTTGCAGAGTCTATCATTGCGGACTAATTAATAGATAAACCATCCATAATCATCCCCAAATGATGCACTTGTAATGGATTATAATGATGTATACCATATTTTTTGATGTTCCAAGCTGACTCGGTATCTCATCCTGACAAGATACCATCTGTGATAGTCTCATTCCGATTTGAGCGCCAGTATCCACCAATCGAAATGTAGTGAACATGTAGCATCGCATGAATCATATCTACTTTGGATCTATGTGTAGTGATGGATCTTCACCATTCAAGCGCTTTGATGCCGTTTCTGTTCAGAAACATGGGAGTATGATGGGAGTATGATGGCAGTCGGGAGATGAACTCGCCATGGATCATGGATATGCCATGGATATGCCATGGGCCAAGGATGCCAACCAAGAGGGTTACTTCGTTGGTCCTACAATCTTTGCCGAAGTCAAACGTGGCATGCAGATCTATGTGTCTCGGTTGCGCTGGAGGGTAGATGCACAAAGGGCATGGCGCATCAATTCATGAATATGTTCATCCCCTCTTTTGGACTCGAACCTGCATGTTTCATACATTTTCAATCATTTTCATACAGAATGGGGCTTTGTTTAGAAAAAAGGACAGATTTTGTTGGTTTGCCCCTGCGAGTGCAGAAATGTGCAGAATCTTCAGGACAATGAGATTTTTGGGCCGGTCTTGGCATGCGTGGAAGCGGATTCTTTTGATGAAGCGATCAAATTTGTCAACGAGCAACTTGCCACAATGTTGCTGCTTGAAAACTGAGAAACACATGTAACTTAGATCATCTTAGATCCATTTACTGTAAAGCATTTAGATTCTCACGGCGGTTCTTCCGAGGGTTACTGACCATCGCCATGTCAATTTGGTCGGGCGCCTTCACCAGTCTACTGTAAACATGAGTCTTATGAAACATACCTTCACAATGTGTTTGTGTGTTTACATTGGCTGATATGGGGAGAGTTAACAATCCACATCGATCCACATTTGTGAATGTGTCGTTTGAAAGCAGCAAAGATACAATCATCGCGAGTCAATACGGGGAATCTGGTTTGCGCACTTCCCTTCAAGAGGAACGCCAGGAAATGAGTATAGCAGTATAGCATTGACACACCTACACTGCACACCACTACCGAGCACCTTGATTCCACAGGAACCCGTTTGGCAACGGCACAGCAGTGTTCACCCGTAGCGGCGCTGCAGCACGGAAATTCATCGATGAGATTGAAGCAGGGCAGGTGCTGTTGATGCTGTTGGGGTTGCCTTCACTTGGTCATTTGTCCTATCCTTATTGAAACAAAAGAAAGGTTTCATGAGGAAACGGCAGAGTTCTGGTGAGACTTGAATCACATCCAAAGGGTGGGAGGCGCATCAATGCCAAGAAGATGCGAAGCCTTTGTTTTGGGATCAAACAATTGCGTACAATTGCATCTAGGCGTTTCAATCAACGGTATTTGTTCATTGAAGTGCAATTTGTTTCATTTTCCATATTTTTCCACTCCAGGCATGCTGATCTTTGGAAATGTTTGGAAGTTGCTCCTTGCCAGGTGGGTGTGAACGTACCAATCCCAGTACCCTGGTTGCCCTGATGGTGGGGGGTTCCGGGTACCCCCAAAGCGTCTAATATGCCTTTGTATTGGGACACCAGATAGATTTCTTGGAAGACTTGAGTCACTTTAGTCATTGTTTGTCCAGTTCCAGAGACAAATATGTGTCACAGCGAAATCGAGTTCCCGGCGGATCCCGGATTCATAGATGCCATAGATGCTATGAGGATTGTCATTTGTTGGTCCCTCAGGTGCCTTTGCCCATGTTCTCCTTCACTGGCAACAAGAAGTCCATCTTGGGAGACCTGAATTTCTACGGAAAGGCCTGGCTCTCCGAAAAGGATGTTGGTCGTGTTCAACGCCGGGCCCAATTTGGCGGTAAACCCTTGTTTGATGTTTCAGCCTTCTTTTGGATACTAAATCCAAAATGCTTTCCATGTGAGTGTGGATTGAAGTGATTGAAATAGCAGCGAAGTAGTTAACCATTAGATGTTTTTTATTGTTTTTTGGCAAATATCCATAATATTATCCTACAGTATATTATCCTATATTCTCCTATATTATCCTATATCATCCTATATTTGCTTGTTTGGTTGATGTATCATGATGTATCTTTCTATGACATTTTAGGATCCCCATAGATTTTGTGCCTTGGATCATTTGGATCATTTGGATCCAGGCCGGAGTGAACTTTTACACCCAGCTGAAGACCGTGACCAGCGCATGGCGCGACGATGGCCACTGGCTAAGAGCCGGTCCGGTCGAGGGTCGTCATGGAAATGTGATGCATACTGCACCGGATTTTTTTGAGAAGATTCATTTTCAAATATTTTCAGAATGTTGATATTTTTGTTTCAGCCGCATTGCATTCGATGGTTGCTGCATGTTGCTGCAATGTGAAGACAACAACGCTGTAGTCATTAGGCTGGAAGCTGACTGTAAAGCATTCTTTCATATTCTTTCCACGTTCATAAGGAGGGACATGGCTATGACACTAGATGCAATACCATTCAAAGATATTCAAAGTCTTCCACATTACTGTAATATACTGACTGTAATATGGCAGTGTGTCAAAACCTTGTACCCCTGGTGAACATCAAAATAGCTGGTAAATGGATGTTCATCCCACTAAAAATGGTATTAATAGGTATTGATCCATACCCATATGATCAATACATTTTGAGATGGTGTGCAATGAGTTTTCCGTGATCCAAGTAGAAATTGGGCACTGTGCCAAGCCAACAGGTTACATCGAGAAGCTCAGCACAGCTGGAGTGGGTGCAGACTGAGAATCAAACAGTGAGTATCTACACCGATCATCGATTTTCGTTGGTTTTGCGCTTGCGTTTAAAGGATGAGTGCCAGACCTGCGAGTGAAAATGATCTGGGAATGGCGACCAAATACAACGGAATACAACGTACAACAACTGTGGATTGTAAGTTTTCGGAAGTCCAGTGGGAAATCCACAATGTCCTATACGTCTCTCCAAGCATGTGTCAAATTGTTTCATTGTTCAGTTCCAGGATGCATGTCCTTGTCCTTGAGGGTATTTTTTGCCTCACATCTTTTGGAGTGAACAGTTGAACATCTAGCAGATATCATCCTGTTGGTGGCTGCTCCCGTTTTGTACAAAGGTACAAAGACAACTGCCACGAAGGCAGCTGTACAGTGTGGACCATTAGGATTGACCGAGGGGCGCTCCGGTGGTCACAATGTGGGAGTCTTGCAGCACCGAGATAACTTGAGAGATCTTGAGAGTCCAGAAACTACTGAATTCTTGCAGAAGATATAATTGGATCAATGGTCCAATCAGCGCAATTAAGTCCCTAAAATGGAGGGCTTGTGCCATGTAGTCATTTTGCGTAGGGGTACTCCCCGACATAGGCTTTACATGGATCTTACATGGATCTTACATGAACTTGATCTTACATATCTTAGGCACCTATATTTTAGTTCCCTGAAAGTACAGTTTCCTGAACGCAGTTGTTCCAAGTGGAACGCAGCATGAAATGGTTTTTGTCCTGAGCATGCTGCGTTCCACTTGGAACAACTTGCTGTATCCTTGAGCGCTTTTGAAGACATGCATGGTTTCAAAGTTACCTTATGGACTTGCAGCAAGCATAATTATCCTACTTCAGATTCTTTTGCAAGGACCTTCCAATTTCATCCAATTTCCATGAGATTGTAAGGTGAAAATAGTATGTTGATTGGGATGGTTGGACCTGGAAGCTCTTCCAGACTGCCACCATCAGAACCTCCATCTCTTGGGCCAACCGCTTTTGGCGAAGCTGCGGATGCCGTTCACACGGCCCCAGCAGTTGGCAATCGATCAGCGTCATACTGATCATACTTCAGCAATGTCTGGAGGAGTAGAGCGATAAAAAAAATAATAGATTTGGATGAAGTTTGTGATACATTGAGATCTTAAGATGCTGTTGGAAGGCAAGGGCAAGACAAAAAGACCCGGCCTTTTGAGCTCTACTCCGAGCCTGGAACCAGTCCAGCAATAAGTTTTAATTATCACAGACATAAAAAAGACAACTGCCGAGCACCAGGGTTTTGCAGCAGGCCTCGGCCAGAAAAGTTAACATCGTAGGCACATCATACACCGCCTTGATTGGAGCAGCCATCCCGGTGTGGTGCCTACCGTTGCGGGTGAGACGTGACATTCTTGGCATGGAAAAAAACCACGGCCCTTTGACAGTGCCGGAAGCTTTTACTGAAACAGCAACACAGGACCCACTGGTCTCATCATCCCCCCGAAGCTCACATCCGCGGACAGTGCCATGGCTGAGCAGAAGATCTTGCCCTTTTATGGACACGGCAAGGGCCGAGACTACTGTGCCACTTGGCAGCAAGTACGTCGGAAAGGCATCCCATGAAGGCTTAAAAAGGGCATTCCAATTGAGCATTTTTGGACCAGAAAAAGTCCAGGGACTTGGAAAGATGTTCTAAGATTTAATTATTTTAATTAGGTTGGTTCTAATATTTTCTAATTAGATTTAATCATGGTTGCCATTGAGTTGACCGAAAACCACCAATATCCAAGACCCACGTCTCAGTCTTTGTTGACCTCAGGAGTTCAGCAACTTCTACTGGCATGACGTGCCGTACACCTTTGTGATGCCGGAGTACGCGCTTCAGAGCTGGACTCCCAAGGAGATTCAGTGCCAGTTTAGCGAGAAGGCGCCATAGCTTTAGCCGCAGGTTTCAGCATGGGGTTGCTCTTCCAGGAATCGGAGATGTCTTTGAAAGAAACTGTCAGCCACAGCATTTGTGAGAAAATGGCGTGAAGTGTGAAATTTGTTAAAATGTGTCGATTGAAATTCAGACCAAGGGGAGTAGGAAAAAATTATATATTGTTGGGACATGTTGCTGGGGCAACACATTATTTGAGGCGCATTCTCAAATTACCTGCACAAAATAGCAAGCTTAGGGACACTAGTTCAAGTGCTGATGGTTATGTTAGGGCACTATCCGTCACTATCCGTACTTCTTTGTCTTTTGGACTCAGCAGGTCAGGAGAAGAATTTGCCGCCAATCAAATGAAACTGTCTTGCGCCCAATGATAGATCCTGATAGATCCTGCTTGCAGCTCGTATCCTAAGTTCATCTCAAAAAGTTCAGCCTCTTTTTCCCGTCGCTACCATGTCAAACCATGTCAAGCAAGACGTGACATGACGTGACTCTTGGAAGTCCGCAGGCCATCATGGCTTTGAAAGCATCCCTGTTTGATGACCAAGAGAGCCTTTTTAGCAGGGGCGTGGAGTCAATTCATGACATCTCATGCCCAAAATTCTGCAAAATTATGCCAAATTAATCAACATTATATAATTGATTATAGTTGTGGTGTAGATTAGTGTGCAGATATCCAGATGATCACATATCATCCATGCGTTGAAGTTTGGGAAAAGGCAGGATGGAACAGGTCCAAGATTCCGGGGCTCAAACTCTGGGCTGGTTTTGCAAGTTGCCACGCAACGACGCTGAGGACCTTTGGGCTCATCGTCGAGTCCATGTATCCGGATGAAGCCAAGGAGACAGTGCTGCGGGGCCGTTCTGTGTCGATTTGGCACTGGGATGGACAAGTAATTTATTGATTATCATTGAGTGATTCATCAAGTGCTTTTCAAGATGTTGTTCAACTTTTTGTAATCTGAGAACTGAGAACTTGAATTTAGACACATTTATATACCTTTTCTATCCTTTTCTGTTGTTCTCATTCCATGGACAAGTCCCGTGAGCCTGTTCAAAGTTTATGTTTACGCCATTTTACGCCCTTGGAAGCTTCAAAGCTGGACTTGTTTCACTACTGGGCAGCCAGTTGGATCGTTCCATCCAGCTTGCTACTCCATTTGGGTCCGTCATTGAATCCTTTGGTCCTACCAAAACATACAAAAATGGGGTGAGGACATGCAATACAATCCATAGGGATTCACCCATTCTGATCTGTGATTCCCATCATGGGATGACCATACCCCATGGTAGCCGGGCTTGACGACATGACCATGGCACACTTGTCGTCCAGTTCCAGGCCCTTGGGCGACAAGTGCAGAACTTCCAAGAGGACCTTTGGTCCAAGCATCTGGAAGAGGCGACCTAGACCGCAGCGCAAGTTTTCATGGAGAAAGTCAGCTGTTTTTAGGCCTGGAAAGACAAAAGATGCTGCGAACTGACAAAATCACCACAATGTATGGGCGTGGAAATTCCAAAACTGACCATTTCTGACTTGCCAGTTCCGCTTCAAGCTCGAGTGAATGCGATTCGGAGTTGGTTTGGTTTGCGATCCTTGCATTTTGTTTGTTTGATCTTGATTTGGGCCAGACTGCTTTCGAAGTGGTCTACCAGAAGTTCAATTCCTCCAAGCACCTTGCTGACGTTTGGATGGATTTCCTCGTAGCAACATGATCAACATGTGGATGTAGTACGGTATAGCTCAATAGTATCACAATCCAGAATCAATGCAAGTTTACCTCTTACTTATGGAAACTATGGGAGTTAGTCTTTGCACAACTGAGGCGTTTGAGGGAGCTGCTCTTGAAGACCGGGAACAAGCTCATTGTTGAGGCCGCAGATAGACCAATGTGGACGCGGCAAATTAAGACATGTCATGACATGTCCATAAAGAAACGACATCAAGATACTAGTGACATACTATAGTGACTAGTGATGACGATGCTTTCTCTGAGGGTTTGCCGGTTTGCCCTGGTGAAAAATCAACCAGCAGCCTTTGACTGCAAGATCCAGTGCAGGCAATGCCAATGCCTTATCGATCCCTATGGGCTGTCCATGGCCTCGCAAGAATTCATAATATGAATGCACTGGTGAGCGAAAGGTCCTGAATGTTTTCCAATCATAAAAACCTGAGCCTTTGGCAACCTGGTTGGTAGAGCCTTTGGCAACCGATCTTGCTGCCAGGCAGCTCCTACCGACCACATTTGGGGGGTTGGCCTTGCCAAGAGTCACTTGCGCAAATGTAAGCACCCCCGTGAGTCCTAAGCGAAGGAATGGTTTTTGGAATCTGATTTTACTCCAAGTGATCCACACTGCGGCCGAAAATGAACGTTCTCCCTGTGATGTCAAGAAATAAGAGAGTGCAATGTGAATTCAGGCGTATTGAAACAATTTGAAACATGATTTATACATGATTTCATTGACAACTTGACATAACTTGACTATACTTGACCTGTATAACATGTAAAACATGTAAAATATTGTAAAATATCGCCTTGGCGACACCAGCAGCTGAGGTGACCCCAGGATTTGGGACCCGACACAATGGGACGGGAAGAACGTCTTAGGTCGTGCCCTGATGCAGGTCCGCTGCGCAAAGTGATTACTTAAGCAAGTGGTATAGATATGTATAGACAGTATCATAGTATCTAAAGATAAGTTTTACCTAGATTTACTGGTAATGTTACAATGTTTCGTTGTATCGTGTTGTTCTATATGTATTATATATATATATTATACACATAATTATATAGATATATTATATATATATATTTCTATATGTATGTATATATATATTTCTATATGTATATCTATCATAGCTTATGTTTCTCTTCGTACATTGGATGTCACTGTTCATAGTCGACAATGGGTCGCAGCTGACTGCAACAGGCACCAGGCTGAAATTTTGTTCACGTGGCTTTGACCAATGAATCGAGGTGTGTTCCACACGGAATTTACGATTCATTTTTGATTTCTGGTATTTGTGTATAAATGTACTATAAATATCTATAAATGTACTATATTGTACTTTCATGCATTACTGTATAAAATTATATACTACTTATTAAACAATCATGATAGTTTGTTATTGTTTATTCAATTTGAGAGACTCCGCCACTCCACCAGGCGCGTGAGAAGTTGCGAGAAGCTCCAGCGTCTCAGGTCGGGTATCCTTGGAACTATATCATGGGTATAGGGTATATAATAATAGATAACCAACAGATTTTTGGTTGGTCTGAAAATGATGGATACCCCAACTTATGGCTATTTTAGTGTAGAAAATGATGGGAGACGAACCCATATAGTATCGATATGTATCGATACTATTTTTTGTTTGGACAAGTACCTCATTATGGAACGTGTGGCGGTGTAACGATATACCCAAAAGGAGGATTGCACTAATTTTCATACACCGGAATGGAAATTGAGTAGGACTTCAAGTCTGAGTGGACATCCATATCCCAGGAACATATTCCATGATAGAATGATATCCAATGAAAGTTTCCCACTTGTATTGGTGCCTCATCTTCATATATTTTTGAGATGGACAAACATCTATTCTTGTGGCTCTGATTCTGGCTCTCAGCCAGGCTGTGCCCAAGCCAGAGGCAAAGCGCGCGCGAAAGTCGCAGAATGGAGATGCAGAACAGCAGATCTTGCCGTTCTATTCGCATCGCCCAAACCTACCGTTCTGTGCCACTCGGCTGACCATTTTGACACTGGGCGATGCGAAGGCCCCTATTTGGGTCTCCGCTCCCAAGGCTCAGAATAACGTCTCAACATTGAACATGATTGAACTAGTTGCCATGGGCGCAGGGCGCCTGGGTGTTTTGTGGTCTTTTTTTTTCGTTTTGTTCTGTTTTTGTTTGATGATGGGGGTGGGGTGGGGTGGGGTTGGATGTTAACATTCATGTTGCGCTGATGATGTTACGTTGATCATGGGGTGGGGTGGGGTGGGATGTTAACGTTCATGTTCATGTTACGCTGAAATTGTCCCGTGGTTGAAGTAGTTTTTGAGAAGTGAAAAAAACAGGCGTGCAAGGCTGCATGCGCAGTTACATTGGGAAGTGCACGCAATAAAACCCACCAGGCGCCTCTCAGCGCCGTTCCCTGGTTTTCTTCGTGTTTTGTTGACCTCCCCAGGAGTTCAGCAACTTCTACTGGCACGATATGCCGTACACCTTTGTGATGCCGGAGTATGCTCGCCAGCGCTGGACTCCCAAGGAGATTCAGTGCCAGTTTAGCGAGAAGGCGCTGGGACGGACTTCCAAAGTGATGTCAAAAGATGTCACAAGATCTGGTTGGATCTGGTTGGTATGTTTCGAATTCTGCACCATTTGCATTCCCTTGGCCCTTCACCTGACGTCAGGCCATCATGGCAATTAAAGCATCCTTGTTTGATGACCAAGAGATCCTCGACAGCTACAAAGACTGGAACCAAGACGTGCAAAGCTCACGTCGAGTGTTAGGTAAGCCGACCAAAATCCGATAACATCGGATAACCAATTCGCACATGGCAAATCGTGGTTTATTGGTCACTAAGGACTTTTCGGCTCATCGACAAGTCTACTTCTCCGGATGACACCAAGGAGCGGGTCGTGGATCGATTGGTCGTTTTGGTATAGGATGTATACGGGGTTGGTATCCTGACGAATCCCTGGATGATCCTGGATGATCCTGGATGTGAGATTTTCCACTGTGCAGGCCCTTGGACGCAAAGTGAAGAACTTCAATACGGATCTTTGGTCCAAGCACTTGGAACAGGTTGGGATCTCAGTTCGACGAGGTTCGACTTCCAAGTTCTAGTCATAGTGGATCCGATTTGGAGCTTGGCTTGTAATTGTGGCTGCTCAATCTTGGTGGCAGACCGCTTTCGAAGTGGTCTACCAGAAGTTCAACTCCTTCAAGCAACTTGGCTGCTAAGTTTGGATGGGTTTGGATGGGTTTGGAAGGGAGTGCACTTGGATCATATTGCATCGTGGGGCTTTATATTGCAAAAAGAATGCAAACAAGTATTTGCATGATTTGTACACATGTATATTTTACGTGTATTGGTTGATAGTCTGTTAAAGTATATATTAATACAATCCTAACACCATTTAGTACAGCTGACTGAGCAGTACTGCCATCTGTCCGAGGCATCTCAGGGAACTACTCTTGAAGACTGAGAATAAACTCCTTGTCGAGGCCCGCTGGGTAAACCGGTGAAGGGGACTCTGATGATCTATTTTTGAGCCATAACCGGGGGAATAGCGAAGACTTGGCCATGCATGAACATGCATGAACATGCATGAACATGCATGAACATGCATGAACATGCATGAACAACATTTGCGAATCTCAGCCAGTCACAAAGTTCGCTTGTGCGGATACAATCAGATCCGCCAGGCACTTTGTTGTGCCAAGATGTGCCAAGAGTTTTTGATGTGCGATTCTTGGGAGAAACCCCGATCGCATCGCCAGGCAGCTCCAAATGACCGCATTTGGGGGGTTGGCCTTGCCAAGAGTCACTTGGATCACTTGGCAAAGTAATGGATCTGAAGCGGCTAAGATCGGCTAAGAGATGATGCTGACAGAAATTTACTCTGTGATTTTGCATGTAGTGGCAGTGTGGTTTGGGTGCTGACCACATTGGTGCCATTCATTGGGAAGCAATGCTGAGATTTGGTTTTGTTGTAAATGGCATCAACTTCCTCTTAAAATGGGGGATCCCCAAAATCACGGGTTCCTACTAAAATGGTCTAATTTGGATGTTGGGTAAGTTGGGTACCTCCATTTCAGGAAACCTCCATATGGCTGAACAACATCAGCTGCTCCAAGGTGACCCCAAGATTTGGAACCCGAAGCAGTGGAACGGGACAAACGTCTTGGGAAATGCCCTGATGCAGGCGACGAAAAACTATCCGATGCCATGGAAAACTGGCACCTAGGAGTCCTCCAAAAGTGGCATCTTCGGGTATCTACCACTTGAGACTTCAGGAAAAAATGATCAAACAGACGGAAGAATATAATAGACCCTGCACATGGTGGCATCATATTGTAGTTTGGATTAGTTTGGTGACTATTGATACCAAACCATATGTATATATAATTATATATATAGTCATATATATATAATCATATATATATACATATATATATATACATATACACATATTCTGACTAGCAATATAGAATTATAAAATAGATCTATATAGTCTATGTGTGATATAGGTATACTTTACAGACAGATCTATATTGTTCTATGTTCGATATAAAAATATTGGATACTTCTGATATTTAGATCCCGTGGCAGGCTCGGGAGAAGTTGCGAGATCTTCCAGCTCAGCCTCAGGTGAAAGATGTTTGATAAACATCAACTGATGCTGGTATCTGGGATAGGATCAAAATCAAAGTTTCGTTCGCTAGTGGTAATTTGAACTTGGAATTTGGAAGACATTGGAAACATGCAGTTAAGTTCAGTTAAGTGCAATCTGCTACCCACAGGCTCTGCCTGGCTGCGTTCACACAAGACATCGACGCAGGCAGAGCCGGAAGCTGGGACGGAGCCCAAACGTGCACGATGGCGGAGGGGTGATGCTGCTGAACCGAGCCAGGCAGTGTGAGAGTTGGAACATGATGCGGCTCGGTAGTTACGTGTTACTACATGTTACTACATGTTACTACATCATATTCTTTGATTTGGAGCACACTGTCATTGACCACTGCAGTTTCAGGATTCTCCGTGTTTTGTCCATTCTCCTCTTTGCAGGTTGTTCATCTTTGCTTGTCATGTCTTGTGGATAAAATATTTGTCCGATGGTTTTGTGTGGATGCACACATCAAGAAACCTGTTGCAGTCACTTGTGTTTCAATAAGAGAACACCGGCGAAAATTTGGCCTGCAGGCGGCCACGGAAGTAGCACCAACCTCACTACCGGCGTCAGCATTTGAGACTTAGATGACATACAGATTGTATATGATTGTATATCCACACGGAATATCATACATGGTGGGCTCATACGCACAAGCAACGTGTGACCTGATCGAGGGATATTATTGCGTTGGACTTTTTGAGATTTTTGATGCCATGTAATTACAAGTGCCAGTCTTCTAAATTAGATATAAAGGTACTGCATCACCCAAAACTGCTTCAGGATATTCAATCCTGCGAAATGAGTGTTCCAGAAAGGATCGGCTTTGTCAGGTGGAGACCGTACTTTCAACATCTTTCAACTTGGCATTCCCTTTTTGCACTTTAAGAAACACGATCCGCCGACTATAGAATCTACCCTCTGGTAATTTAACATAGCTATTGAAAATCACCATATTTAGTGGGAAAATCCACTATTAATGGTCATTTTCAATACGTTAAATTACCAGAGGGTATATGAATCATTATGAATCTATAGACAGGGCCAGGCCAGTGAGTCGCAGTGAGTCGCTGGTGCCCGAGGATTGCTACGTCGTGTTGGACTTTGAAGCCACCTGCGACGCCTGCGATAAGATGCAGATGAATCCTCAGGAGAAGGAGAAATTTTCGGCGATGTTTGGCTCGCCAAAGGTCAGCAGCTCTCTGGAGCACCAAGGGATACAAAAAAAAGGGATAGATACTTAATACATTTAATACGGGGTTCCGTGATTTCAATGACCCTGGAGAAAACTCAGAAGGTGGTAGAGATTCTATGAGATTCCGATTCTGCATGTCTTTTCGTAGGAGTGTGTGCCAAGTGCAGTACCAGAAACCTGACATGAAGGTTTTTTGGAGCTGTCAAACATCCAGATTCAGTTGTCGAGTCTCAGGACTGTTGGGGTCGTGGCTTTCGTCAGGAAATCATCGAATTCCCTCTGGTCTTGGTGGATGCCAAGTCTTTAAAGCAGGCAAGTCATGACAGCCCGGAGGGTCAGATGCTCGCCGTGGCTCGTAGACTTGGGGAAGGGATCCAGTGTTTTCTCCTGCATTTCCTATACATCCTATATTTAAGACATTATCATATAACAAATTACAGTAATTATTACCATGTATTATATGATATTATATGTAATTATATATATTATTAAATTTTGTTAATAATGTACATGTTCAGTACAAGGTTCAGAGCAGCTTCTGCTAAAGCTTCTGAGTCCTCGCCTGCGTCCCTGCCAGCATCGTACAGGGACTCACATCGAATAACCACTCCGTCCACATGCATGATGTCTTCGGGACTAGACGGGGCGTTGTGAAACACTGTGACATTGTTCCCAATCTTCACAGCGATGGAGAGTATGTAGGTGTACTCATCGGTTTTTTTAAATCAGATCCCTGTTGTAATGCTTTTCTATATCGATGGTTGCCACCACATGAGGGTTCCTCCCATGATATTTGAGTTATATATATATATACGTATGTATCACTCTATAATATATTTAAGGAGCAATTTTTGAGGATTTAAGGTGAGGTCCAACCTATCTGAAATGGACACTTTGCCAATGCCTGCATTTCCGGCACTTGAGCGCCAGGTTGATGAGTTCAGGACCTATGTGCGTCCCACATGCCATCCCGTTCTCACGGATTTCTGCAAGGAATTGACTGGAATCCAACAGGAGCAGGCCAGACACCGACATGGAAGATTACTGATGATGCCTCTTCGTTATTCCATGTTATTCCTAAAAAAAGCAGTGTCAGATTGTCAGAACTGCAGGGAAAACTTCAGGGACATGTTGGATAAAGTTTGACATCCAATGACACGACTCCCATGACATTGGGGAAGTTGTCAGCTCCAGTGGTACCACATTGAGGTGGCAGATGCTCCCCTGTGGCCAGATGCGCGAGCTATGGCAGAGGTGGCTGATGGGTCAATACCCATGGTACACATGGGTTGAAGATCTAGAACCATCAGCTATTCTGGTGCTGATCAAGGGTACTTTCCAGGTATATATTCAGAAACGTCCCAAGGCCGGCGCGGGGAGTGATGCCTAGTTGCTTGGGTCATGCAGAAGCCCATGCAGGCTTGGCTTGAAGATCGCATGCAGACCCTGGGGTACAAGAGGTGCAGCAAGGGGGGGGTATGGCCGGTTATGGCCGGTTGGGCTGGTAGGATTTGCGACAAACCACGGTCCAACAGTGACCAACTATGGTTCAAAGCGTCAGAACATGTCAGAACATGATGCTGGAGAGTGTGCAGGACACTTTGGGCGTCCTTTTTTGGCCACATTTGAGCAGCTCCAATTTCTGACGCTGGAGCTGTAGGGAGTTCACAGAAACACTTGTGGGAGGATTCGTTGAAAGTCTGCTCCCAGTTTTCAAGATGTACTGAGAACGTAAGTATTGTGTAAGCTGCGACGTGTCACAATACTTGTACCTCCAACATCCTCCAATACTGCCATTAGAGTACCAGAGTAGTGCCCCTTTTCCATCACTCTTGCACTCTTGTGGCAGAGCAGTCACCCGCAACTGTCAGTCGAATCTGACCGTGTCAGCCTTGTCAGGTACGTCTTTGCTACGTGCGGGGATTGGGACCTCAAAACCATGCTGCCTTCGCAGTGTGTGACCTCCAAGGAGGAAGTGCCCATGGCCTTCCGCCGATGGTTGAACGTCAAGATGCCTGGCACAGCACTGGGGTCATCTCGGGTCCAAGACGGCCATATTGGGATGTCGGGAAAATACCTGTTTGATCCTTTTTGATCCTTTTTGTGCACTCTGCATATTGTTCGGTTCATGTTTGTTGGTTCATGTCCGTTGGTTTTGTCTGAATCTTGTGGACTTGGTATATCTTGAACTTGTTACAGGTGTCAAGCAGTATAATAGATCATCCGGAAGCAAATATGTTACGCTAAGAACCCAAGCACATCCGAATGCACTGGCTAGGTCTCAATGGGAAGTGGTAAAGTTCAGCTGCAAAATTCCTGTCCATCACATGCCTCATTTTTCCAACTTGCGACCCGCGGTCCTTGTTATAGAGGACGAGTCTTCCGCAGAACGATCTAGAATCAAAGGGAATGGAAGTGCGTGATCCATAAGCCGGACTTTGTATGATTTTCACGTCATGCAGTTCGTTCCAATGGTCCAAGCCCACTTAGGAAACTCTATGAGCAGTTCAGCGGTAAGCGGAAAGACATGCTAGGCGGGGGTTCCTGGACTACGAGCGATTTGGAACGGTGCCAGTAGGATGCTGTACATGCTCCTGAGAAATTGAGATTGCCAAAAATTGAATCAATCTGGATCAATCTGGATTGTATGTTTCACAAACCTTACATACAACTGTTACATTGTATCAATAAAAGGCCGTTTGTCTTGGCAGTTACAGTTGTCCTTCTGTCAAATTCATACGACTCCTTTTCGCTTTTTCTTGGCTGGACTCTTCAGTATGTTTCACCACAACAGCGAATGAAATCCTCTCATTTGGTCTGGACACAACGGAGAATTTGGATTTGGATATATTATTTGCATTTATTTGTAGATTTAGATCATCGCAAGATTTTGGGAAAAAGTCTGATACCACTTGTTGCCTTTTGCGCGCAAACGCGCAAGCGATCGCAAGCGCGTTGCAGGTATGTTGGAGGGCTTGGCACTGAAGCACGAGGGTCATCATCACAGCGGCCTTGATGACTGTCGCAACATTGCCAGGACACATTTCCGAGACGTGGAGTTCAGAAACGTCCCAAAAACCCATGGGATCCCATGGGGTTTCCTTGGTAAATCCTATCATAAACCTACCACAAAGGTATCCACTTAGGGGTTGTTTATGGTTGTTTTTTACACCAGAAATAAATGATCATGATGGGGATGGTTTATTGGGACCACCATGGATGACGACCAATCTTGGAATGATTTTGGGGTCCCCTCATTTTGCGCATTGAACATAACAGTGTGGAACTGTAGAGCTGTAGACATTGAGAGCACTGGTAGCCATAGCAATGATATGCAATGATGAGGTTCGAATGAAGGATCAAGGAGGTGCACTGTTGTCTTGAATTTGCCTGCTGTATATTTCAAGTGACTTGAGTTTTGCGCGTGCCTGTAGTCTAAGCACCAGCTTAGAATTAGATAGCACAACAAAGAGCAATCAATTAAAAGGGATGACTATTCCATTCTATGTAGCTAAGACACCTGGTCGATCGTTGTGATATCTCCCTGGGTCAAATTGATTTAAATTGCTGCACATATATATATATATATATATATACACAAACAGATACATATACGTATACGTATGCGTATACATATACCTATACACACAATATACACATACGTATACGTATACGAATACATAATATTATACACGTAATTATTCAATATTACATATCCATATCCATATGCGTATATCGCCACTCTCCGTGAGATCGCCACAGGATCTTGATAGCTCTTGTGCAGCGTGGCAGTGTCATCAAGGAACGTGCAAATCTGTTGGAGAATGTTTGATTCCGACAAGCAGGTCCTGAAAATGATTTCTGCATGTAAGATAATTCTAAAATGTGTTTTGTGTTTGAGTGTAAATATGCTCGCCTCATTCCAAGCTTCCAGATGTGATTTGTTTTAAATCCTACATTGTCAAGCCACCCCAGCAGCAAAGTGATCCTTACCTCAGCACCAGGAAGACATGCTGTCTGTGAGACAGGGTGGCTACGGTCAGTGAGGCTGAGACGGTACAGCACCTGCGACAGGGCAGCACTGTTTCTCAAAGCCAAGAGGCGGCTGAAGTTGTGACAAGCTTCTGATTTTTTCAGCCATGGTCCACAGGCAAGTAGGACAAATCATGAAATTACGGAGACTGTGATCAACTTTATGTGCATGGAATAGACAAGTTTGTTTCCGATGTTGCCTTTACCACCGTCTAGCTTACATCCTGTTTTCAGAGTGAGATGAGCTTTACACGATGCTATTGAGATGTGCATTTTTGGATCATTGTGTATGTCTGAGATTAGTGGATGTAAGGCGGGCCAATCTTGTAACAGAAGCTTCACTACTTCAGCAGCAAATTGTAGTCCTCTTCGGCAGATCTATGTGTACAGTTCAGCGATTCATTTCTCTGATGGGCATGGAGTCTATTGCCTGGCTAAGTGAAGCAATTAGGCATCCCACAAATATTCTCTGTGAGAGATGAACCGCACGGCTGCGGCCGAGTAATCTTGCAAATATGACCTTAGATGTACAGTTACTAAAGCCGTTCCCGGCAAAACCTAACTCTATAAAATTCGATGAAATTAGTCAATTTTGATTTTCTATGAATATGGAAGCATTACCCCTTGACTGAAACCGAATTTAATTTAAACAAATAGATTATTGGTATCTTTTTCTAAATATTGAAAGAATTTTCCTTAATTCTCCGTAATATAATTCTCCTTAATATGGGGTTTCTATCTTTGAGAATTCTTAATTCTTAGAAAAATAAAATAAAATATAAAAAAATAGGAAATAAAAGGGTTTATTATATATAATTTTTGCAATTGGATTTTTTCTATATACTAGTAATTATATATAATTATTATAATCTTATATAAATATAATTGTTAAATATTCTTTAAATATATTTTTAATTAGTTGATATTAATTATAAAAAAAATAAATTTAAAATTTAAATTAATTAAATAAAATTATAATATATATATATATAAATTTATTGATATTAAAAATATATGTTAAAATTAATTAATTTATAAAAAGATAATAATATTATTTGTTATTTG